TTAAAAAGACTCCATAGTTTTACTATAGCAGTTTTATGTTAAAGGCATATTTCAAGCAGACGTTTTGTAGAAAATTCTACGTTGTGGAAAACGTTGTGATCTAATTCTGAGGCGGCTACTCAACTGCATGCCAACTTGTGCTCGCAAGCAATTTGCATTTAAACTCGTAAACGAAACAAAATTACCATTTTACTTTAATTAGCGGCATGTCACAACAGTTGCGCACACTGGTATTCAACAAAATCAAATTCCGTGAAGAAGAATTAACTCCGAGTGAAAATGTGGACTTTACAGCTCGACATGTTGCAGACACAAACAACGTCAACCTGGTAAGATGAATGATTTAGCGTATTTTTGTAGGGAACCTAAAAATGTACTCCCCGCAGAAAATAATAATAATAACAGATGAAATAGTATTTGAAACAACAGTTTAGAAACCTTATAACTTTTTATACAAAACCCCCTTATCATGTCTTAGCTGCGCGCAGTCATGGCTGAAAATCTATTGAGTAGATCTTAAGTCTGCTTGACATCAGGTGCACTTCAACTTTGGTCTTCGGTACACTTTGGTCCCTAGTGTGAAGGCAACAATTATTATCTGGATATTTTAACAGCGTTACCGAAACGTTGGTATCTATTTCCAGGATAACAGCGTTTTACCTACTATTTTTCACTACGTTTAACTCAGGACTCTGCGCAATCATAAGCGATTGAACCTTATGGAGGAAAATTCGACTGTAAAGCCAAATGTTCAGAATTGTTTCTGTACAGGAATTACACCAATTATACGTCTATGCCTGTCTATCTCTATACCCAAACAAAATGAAGCTAGTAAAACAGTGCTCGAAGACCGCGGACTATTCAATTATCCAAAGAGAGTTGTAAGTGAGTCAGTAGTCATTGATCACCCTCCATTGTTTCTGCAATAAAGGAAAATAAAAGTCAAGAAACCATTAAAAGCCGGGGCTATTGAAAAAAGAAAACAAACAGACAAAAGATGTTATCTCTCCAAAAAAGTAGTTAATTTTGTCTGGCCAGGTCGATCCTGCTGTGGCCTAAGTTGTTGAGCCCAGTTTAAACATATTGGCCAACTTCGATCAACAATGTTGACTACAACCTGTTGGATCAGTCGGAACATGAACAGTGTTGTGTGTTGGTGGATGAAGTTATACCCGGTTTGAATAAGTCAGCGTCACCCAACATTTAGTTCCCGGTGGGCGATTTATTGTTGACGGAATTTGGATTTTCAGATCAATTTAACCTCGTGCGCTTTTATATTTAAGCAAAAAATGGCCCTGAACGTGCCTTTTACATTTTGCAATAATATTTAGCCCGTGGTTCTTTTTGACTTAAATTTCCAGGGTGACATGCCAAAAGTGACGAAATTGGCTTCGTTTGAACGCTCCATTCAACATAACCAACCCCGATACAACTATGGAAGATGTATGGATGGTTGATGAGAAGGGCTTCTTCTAATCTAGCACGAACGATGTGCATAACAAGTATCAAATTATTGTAGCGCTAGGCAAATCCGCGGGTGCCCCTCTGAGTAAGTCACGTGACATATGGCGTAATAACCATGCGCGAAGTAGGCATTGTGGGACTGTATCTGATAGCAGATTAAAGATGTGATGTTCATTTAACGCTGTTTTAACCGAAGATTGTGGCGTTACACTGATGTCAGCGGTAAACAAATACGAACTTCACAGATATATGTGTTCCATGGCGATAATTTAATGGTTTGCGTGACTGAACTTCACCGTTTTGCATTGCTTTGCATTCGAAGTCTCTTCCTGTGTTTAATACCGTGGTTTCGCCCGTTTGCAATGTGGATTCAGGGTTTAAAGGAATGAGTTGTTTGATGCCAGTTAATCCTTTTAAACCGGGGAACTCGTTTACAACAGTCTGATTCAACTGTAGACTCATTAGTGAATGTCGAAAGTCCAAGCCAATCAGCAAACCCGTTTGCATCGCCGCTAGATCCATCAGTAAATATTAGCAGTGCAAGTCACCGATTTCACTACGCAAAACCGTTCGAATCGGAGAGTCAACAGGATACTTATTCCACTTATCTTTTTACACACTGCCAAAAGTTTAACAAGCCTATTAAAAATCCTGCAGATTATGACGGTACTCGGTCGCTAAGTGATTATTTGAAACACTTTGAGCGTTGCTCTGTTGTTAACGGCTGGAGCCAAGAAGAAGCTGCTTTACTTCTTGCTGCACGCCTTCGAGAAGAAGCCCAAAAGGTACTTAATGGTATGTCTGATAGCGATTGTCGAAATTGCACAAAAATTGTTGACAAATTGGAGGTTCGGTGTGGAGTTGAAAAACATTGTGACTTACAGTAAGTGCGTCTTCATAACCGTCGCCAACTGGAAAACGAAAGTGCTCAAGCCCTTGCTGCAGATGTTCGGTCCATGGCCACTTTAGCACAGGAGACGCATATCTCAGGACACTCAAGAAAGATTTGCCGTCAAACACTTTATTGATGCACTCAAGGATCAAGACGACAGGTTTAAATCGCGTGGAGATAAACCACGCTTCCTAGCTGGCTTGTGAACTCGAGGCTTTTTTGGTCTTTTGGGTGGAGATGGACGTAGAAGCTGTCTGAAAGTTCGATCCGTGGATGAAGTTGATAAAGAACATGATTTGCCCAGTTGGACATGCTACGGTCTGCCATTTTGGCGCAACACAGCGTCGTGGGACGCAGCAAGTTGCCCTACAACAGTTAGTTGAGCAGGTCCAGCAGCTCTCCCAGTCATTAGAGAGATTAAGATTCACGTTTACGCCAAACGGCAAACGTAAATATGTACCACATGACCAAGTTTTTCGCTTAATTATCGTTAAGTGTTTATTACTTTAACTAAAAATAAGTAGTTTCAGGCCAGTTTTATACAGTAGTTTCTGGACAGTTTTTATCTGCTTATTTTCTTTTCTGAGAAATTCTCAACTTGAATCTGACGTTTTCCCTCTGGCGTAAACAGGAATCTTAATCTCTCTATTATCTCTAAACAACGCAACGCCAACCTCCTTCACGTTACTTCAACCGAAATGGTCCATGCTGGAATTGCAAAGAATTTGGCAGGTATCGTCGGAACTGCCCAAAGCACAAGTCACATGACCGAGCCAACCCGGAAGGGGGAAACTCCAGCAGGGTGTCGCCGCCGGGCCAGGGGGGTGTTCACCCCACCACTAGTAATTATGTGCTTTCTCTCAGCTATCGTTAAAGAAGGAAATGACGTGTCCTGGTACACCCATGAAAGAGACATGTTAATGAAAAATTACGAGGCCTTTATTAGCCAGGCTTTCTTGGAGGATCTGGTGTTATGTGGTTGATAGACACTGGTGCTGCTCCTTCAGTTTTGTCGTTCAAGGTTTATAATTCTTTCCCTGCTAGAGTTAAGTTCAGTTTAGGTTCAGCGAATTTTGCCATTGCTCTTCCTGATGGTCAACAAGCAAAGACTTACAGTACGGGACATGTGTAGTGCGCCTGGGTAACAGAGAGTTTCAAATGCATGTAATCGTTGCTGAGGTTAAGGGTGGGGCATTTTGGGTATGGACGTCCTGTCACAAGTTGATTCACTGTTGACATTGCGAAAATCAAGTGTTCATTAATGGCGAAATGTTTGATTGTTCGGATTTCAAAAACCAACTCCTTTGTTCTAGATGTACAGTTCGACGGTTAACCATGATTGAGCCTAACACTGAGGTGATCGTTGCAGTAATTGTTCAAAAGCGTTCATTTAAGTTAAATTCAAAGTCATCCCAAAAAGGCATGCGATTGTTGGAACCGTGCTTAAACTGACACTTGCAACAAAAGGGACTTTATGTTGCAAGGACTCTGGTTGATGTTAAGGAAGAGTGGTCCCTTTACGTGTTTTCAACGTTTCTAATGAAGTGTTTCACTTCGCTGCTGAGACTGTGATTGCCCTAGCTAAGTCAGTTATTGATGCCACCTCACTAAAGCTTAATGAAGAGAACCAGGAGAGTGCAATGGACCAAGCTGGAGTAATGAATGAGCATGTGTCAGAAGGAGCAGTTTATACGACTCCACCGAAGGCCTTGAGGGGAAGCACTATATTACTTAACTGACAGTGAAACTGAGAGACGGCAGGAGTTGTTTTTTAATTACAATCATGTGTTCTCAATTTCAGACAGAGACTTAGGCACCACGCATATGGTCCAGCACAGGATCGAAACGGCAATGCACCTCTAGTACGAATACAACCAACGCGAACTTCACCAAGTAAACATGAGAAGATAGAACGACAACTCACCGACCTCATACAGCAGGGAAAGTCAAAAGAATCGTGTAGCCCCTGGTATTTTCTGGTTGTGCTAATAACTAAACAAACTATCGCCAGCTGAACGCAGAGACGGTAAACGATGTCTTCCCTTTGCCGCGAGTTGATGATTTTCAAGCTGGTTTGATTGGGTGGCGATGCTTCTCAACCTTGGATCTCCCGTCCGGTTACTGGCAAGTGGCAGTGGATGCGGACACCCAGAAAAGCCAGCATTTGAAACTTCAAGCTGCTTGTTCGAATGGACCGTGATGCCTTTTGGCCTCTGTAACGCACCCAGTATCTTTGGCAGATTGATTGAGCTTATTTTGAAGGGACTACATTGGACGATTTGCTTGATCTATCTTGAAGATGCGATAATTATGGGACGCACATTGGAAGAAGAATTAGAGCGGTTGGAAGAGGTGTTTGACCGACTAGCCAGAGCAGGACTAAAGCTTAAGCCAAAGAAGTGTTTTGTCTTCCAGAAACGGATCTCGTACCTCGGACATGTGGTCACGAAGAAAGGCATTGCTGCAGACCCTGGAAGGGAGGAGCAATTTCGCACCTGGCCCAACTCGGAAAACAGCAAGGAGGTCAAAGGTTTCCTTAGACCTACCTCTTATTACCGCCGATTCGTCCTTGATTTCTCGACCATAGCTAAGCCGCTGTACAAGCTAGGAGAAGCCAAGACGGAATTTGTTTGGACAGCGCAATGTCAGTTGGCTTTTGACGGTCCTGGCCTACCCGACAAGAGAGGGAAAGGTTATGCTAGACACCGACGCAACAGAACATGGAATAGGCAGTGTTTTCACAGTTTCAGGACGGGGTGGAAAATCCCATTTCGTTTGCAATTCGGACATTGTCCAAGTCCGAAAAGAACTATTGTGTGGCCCGTCGTGAGCTCTTGGTAATTGTTTAGTTTGATAAGCAAGATCGGCATTTTCTTGCAAAGTACAGGATTCTGCATCGGAACTGATCCTCCCCTTTGTCCTTCGTTGTCCCGGCCAAAGTTCCCGAGGGACAGCTTGCACGTTGGATTGAATTCTTGAGTACTTTTGACTTCGAGATCCAGTATCGAACAGAAGAGCGACAGCTTAATGCTTATGCACTTTCCCGTAGACCCTATGATGTCCGTTGTAAGTGGTGTAAGGGTTGGAAGTCACAGGAACGAGTGTCTTTTGCTGATGTGGGTGTTCAGATTGTAATGTCCCTAACCAGGGCAACGAACAGTCTGTGAATTGTGAAGGACCTGTTGGTGATCTTTGAGCCACTCTCAAGAAGATCCTGTAGAACCTGATAGACAGCCTACAACTTCCAGCTTGTATGATGGCCTATCGAGGTACTGTTCATGAGTCAACAGGGGTTTCGCCTAACCTCTTCATGTTGGGTAGGGAACTGCAGGTTCCCCTGGATGTCATAACTGAGAGACGTCCTGATGCATCATTACTCTAGACGGGTTATGCTCAAGCTGTTCAAAAGAGATCGGCTGGTGCGCATGATTTGCCGAGGCGTCATTTGAATAATTTGGGCTATGCTCAAGCTGTTCAAAAGAGATCGGCTGGTGCGCATGATTTGCCGAGGCGTCATTTGAATAAAGCAGCTGTACGACAGAAGAGGAACTACGATAAAAGGCTTGCTGGTAGATCATTCGTTATTGATGGTTCTGTTTGGCTGCATAATGTTCGACGGACGACGGGAAGAAACGCCAAACTTGACTGTCCTTTGGAAGGACCGTATCTTGTAATATCAGTGCTGTTGGATGTGGTGTACCGTATCCAGAATAGCCGTAAGCCCAAGCCCAAGGTCTTTCACTCAGAGAGATTAAAGCTTTACCTGGGACCCCCACTGGAGGTATGGATTCCAAAAAGGCAGAGGTAGCTAACGAGCCCAAGATAACAGGAGAGAGAGACAGCAGATGTCGATTCTTCAATTTTTGTCGACGACAGCCAGTCAGCTCCGGTTGAGGAGAGAGAGGAAGTTGAGCTTGACGAAACAGAATCTACGGAAGGAGACAAGGATGATGTTTTTCCGAGACTTCAGAATGCTTATCGCATTGCGGATGATAACGGTGGGGGAGCCTGAACCTCGAGCGGATTTGACAACTTCTGTTGGGGATGACCATAACCAGGAGGGTGTGGGCTGTCAAACAGCCGAGTCGATACGAAACTTGGGTGACTGATTTGCCTTTTTTCCGGGAGTGAATTGATGCTGTTTCGGATTAGTCGGAACTGATTCGTAAAATAGTGGACCAGCACTGGGACAGTGCTTAAAAAATGGGGGAGAAGTGTAGCGCCAGGCAAACCCATTGGTACCCCTCTGGGTAAGTCAAGTGACATATGAAATAATAACCAAGTGCGAAGTAGTTATTGTGAGACTGTATCTGGTAGCTGACTTCTGGTAGCTAAAATAATTCAATTGGACCCTTTCAAAAGGCTTCAAAGACAAAAAGGATCCACTACTGACGGAGTGGTACCTCCAAAATCATATCATACTATCGCACATACCTTACAACTAACTTACGTCGGTCTATTTTCGGCTTTTATTTGGTAAATAGTGTAAGTAATGCTAGATTGGATCGAAAGTCGTGCCTGCCTTTGTTAGTTTTTTCCCAAGGAAGTAATTTGACCAACTTAAACCACGCATTTATATGACTTCTAAATCAGACACGAGTCAATACCTAAAAATCAAATTAAAAGGTAGTAGCTTACTTTTATGTGTGTGTTAGGTGCGTAGAGCTTGTTTTCATTCTTTTGCCTTTCTGCCTGTTTTTTCATAAACGACTTTTTTGAGCTGAATGATTCGTTTGAGTAAGCCGTTGCCTGAAAAAAAAATCAAACAAGAGCGAAGCGATAACAATATAAGTATTTAAGAAAGATGATATTAATATAAGGAAGTAGACATGTTAGAAAATACCCACATGTATTTATATCTGGGAGAGGGTCGGTCTGCTGAGCGGGAGGTCACAGGTTCAAACCCCGGCCGGACCAACACTCACGGTCTTTAAATAACTGAGATGAGAAGAAAGTGCTACCTTTGTAATGACATCTGCAAACGGTTAGACTTTCTAGTCTTCTCGGATAAGGACGAAAAACCGTAGGTCTCGTCCCACAGGTCCCGTAGGTCTCGTTACACGTATCTTGTTCTTGTGGGACGTAAAAGAACCCACACCACCGTTCACACATCAAATCATTCACATCATGGGTTGGGTGGATGATACAGTAAGCTCATAAATGGACTGAGAGCGGCTGCCAATGGCGCCTTTGTATGCTGACGCCCGAGCTTACTGTTCAAATGTTAAAAAAAATGTATTGTAAGAGGGCACGTCTGTTGTCTGCACGACTCTTTATTCATTCATTCATATTTAGTTTCTAGGTAAGAGCCATATACCTGTTTTAACATGAGCTACCTCTACAAATCATAAGACTTTAAACATGCAAATGAAGTATGTTTCTTACCCTGCTAATGGACGAGGCGAATATATTTTCTCCTCCAAGACTAACCGGCATACTGGAAGACGACGGTGATCGGAAGGGAATCTTGGAAGAGTATTTCTTCAAAAACTTCTTAAACGCCGTGGAAACCTTACAGATAATAACAAGAAGAACTAGCCTGTAGACAAGCACCTTACTGGAAAGCAGATTTGGCGAATAAAAGCCAAGGAAATTGGAGAGAGTTTTTCCCTCCTCTTCCCAAGTGGCACTGAAATTCGTCCGTTTCCAGTTAAGGAGCTTGTCCACAGGCTACTGCATAATAATGACTAATTTGTAGCAGCAAAAGGTGAAAGATGATTATCTCATGACATCGGAGCTAGCTCGAAAGATAAAGAAGACAGAAATAGCGTAAACAAGAAAAGAAATAGACGAGGGAATGCAAAAAGAGAAAAGGGCACAAGTTTAAGTCTTCCCTCTTCTTTTGCTACCGTGGGTAAGGGAAAATGAAAAGTTTATAAATAATGATCAGACAAATTGCGACTTTGACATAGAAACCACAGTAGAGATATCTAGTGAGATCAGAGGAATGACGGCAAGTAGGATAGAGGTACAGGACAAAAAGACAGAACAAACATTATCCAAACAAGGACAAAAACGTTGATAGGGCGAAAAAGCGGAAATTAAGGAGGATGAACAAGGTCAGTACATACAGTACTAAAAGAGGATCGAGTTGGAACAGAAAAAAAGAGAGGAGGGAGGATTGCCGGCAAGAACAACGAATAGACATACAGTAACAAAGGTTAATGACAAATGGAAAGAGAAGTTTGGGGGCGAGCTTTAAACACAGAGAACGAAGTAATCAAAGAGAGTGTTTACATAGGCTAAGAGTAGAAAAAATTATAAAAAGGCCAGACTAGAAAAAACAGAGTGAGATCAGACAGTATTGGACGAGTTGCACAGAAAGTATAGAAGACTAGCAAATAACAGTGAAGTTATAAATCTAACCACTATTCAGGAGAGACAGTAATATAAAAAGAAAAGAAAGTAAGGACAGAAGAAAGACACAAAAGCACAGCACAATGAGGATAGAAGGTTGCAAATGAACATAGAAAGATCCGGAGACAGAAGGACTTGAAAAGGACAGCAGAGCACAACACTGAGGATGGAAAGTAAAAACTTAGTGAGAGCAGAAAGTTGTTGTGAAAGGACAGGATATATGTAAAAGAAAAATAAAAAAAGACAGAAACGCTAGCAGAAAACAGTGAGGATTGACCGTTCATACATAGTGAAACCAAACATTTATATGCGGACGGATAGACTCTGGGTAAGGCTGAAAGAGGCCAGGGCATAACAGCACATCACATTAAGAATAGACGAAAAAATCTGTACTAGGGTAGAGATTTAAAGAGGGAGGGGAAAAGTGTTGACAGAGGAAGCGCAAACCATTATAACACGTCATGAGGACAGACTACTAAATGTATAGAGAGAACATTCATATTTTAAGGGTAGGTAAAGGATAGAAAAGCACAATTCAAGTGTAGTTAGATCAGATAGTAATAGAGGGAGGATAGACAACAAGAACAAAAGAAGGGCAGTTAAAAACAGCACAGGGAAGAATTTAGCAGTTAAAATGAATCGATAGACAATAAGGACAGAAGAATAGCAGAAAGGCACACGATAAGGAGGGACAGATAGTAAAAAACATAGGTATTACAGGCAGTAAGGACAGGAATATCTGGAAAGTAAACAATGAGCAGAACGAAATAAGAACAGTAAAGGGATAGACATCACAGCATAAAATAGATTCTAAGAAAAGTGAAAAGACGGACAGTAAGAACAGCGATCGGACAAGGTGGAATAACAGAAATTATTATTAATATGGCTGAGTCTGTTTTTGCCATGCGATTGGTCAATTTGCGGTCCGTAACTTGCTATACGGACCAAAATTTTAAAGAAAATTCTCATTTCGGAGCTCTAAATCTCTTTACCTCGGAAAAAAAGGTTTAAATAAAGTTATAGGACACCTTTCAACCTTAAGGACTTGGATTTTGTCTTTGGCCTTCAACATTTTAAACTGTGTTTATTTGTGAACGAAGGCGGTGAAGAAACTATTAAATTCGTAATCTTATCGAAGAGGATTCTAGTCGGTGTTTAAAAATTTTATCGCGTGAGTACACAGTTAAGAAGACGAAAATCGACTGGCAGAGATTCGAGATGTTTTGCCTAAGAGAAATATGATAACAAACATACCTGCACCCGATCATCTTGACAATCTTCTTTGCCATTTGTAGTGTTTTTTCGAAGACCAACAAAAGAAAGATAGAAGCGAGTTCGAACCAGACACAATGTCCAGTTTTCAAAAGACTTCAGCGTCACACTAACGAGTGAATACTTACAGTGCTCTTAGTTTTGACCGAATAAACGTTAAAATATATCTGTAAACCCTGAGGACTGGGATGTTGACTTTGCCTTTCCAAATTTTAACCTAGCTTTGTTTTAATGAGAACGAACCTGGTGTAGAAACTGAATCGTAACCTTACCGAGGAAGAGAATTTTAGTCAGTGTTTGAAAATTTTAACGCAGATCACAATTGAAGACGAGAATGAACTGGCAGAAAGAGAGGTTTTCCCAAAAACAATTAACGAGCGAATCCTTCGACAATGACAACAAACTTACCTTGAAAAGCTTCTTTGCCTTTTGCAGTATTTTTTTTTACAAGGACAAACAGTGGAAAGATGGAAACGACTTCTAGACAGACACAGGGTCCGGTTTCCAAAATACTCCAGCGTTACATTAAAAAGCTAAAACTTACGGTGCTCTTAATTTTGACCGAATAAACTTTTTCAACATGGCGAATTTGTTTTTACTTTCTCGGAAAGCCTTTGTTATGTGCTATTGTTTTCGTGTGCCAATAAGAACTTTCTATTTTGACGCCTGTCAAATGACTGTCAAATCGTGCGTCCTGCACTTGTTTCCGGTTCCCCAAACAGGAAGAAGCCATATAATAAACATCTTATTAGCGTCGTTTTTTCGGTCCGTACTGTAAATTACGGATCCCCGTTTTTTTTCCATCGATTTATGGCCCGTGCTCTTCGCGCTTCGGCCATAAATCGACGGAAAAAAACTCGGTCCGTAATTTACAGTACGGACCGAAAACTCGGCTAATAAGAGGTATGAATAGCAATAGGATAACAGAAAGAATAGCAATAGGATAGCTTGTAATAACTGACTAATGCATGGACAGGACAATAATAGTAGGTAAGGATAGAGAAGGATGGACAGTAAAAATAGATGTATGGCAGGAAGTAAGCGGGCAGAACAAAGATGATAGTAAGGGCAAGAATGAAAAGATAGCAAGATTTTTGACAGCTCGTAAGGGCAGACCAGAGATAAAAAGCGACACAATGTAGGGCAGCAAACAGGGGTAAGATAGGAAGTAAGGACTCAGAGGTTATGATAAGAAGTAAAGACAGAACGAGAACAGAAAGTAATTGCTTACAGAGAAGAATAGCGGCAGGACAGGAAGCAAGGGCAGAGGAACAATAAAAAAGACGGACGACAGGACGGACGCCAAAGAAATGTCTGGCATTATGTCGGTGTACAACAAGAAAAGAGGCAGGCATAATAGTATAAGGAATTGATAGGTTTAAAACAAGGGGAAGACATGGAACAGGGAGTTGATATACAGCATAAACAGACGAAAGACAGACATAACAGTATGGGAAAGATCGTAACAATTAGAGATGACAGAAAAGAAGAAAGGAAAGACAAAAAGAACAGACAATGGATAAGAAGTAATGATAGATCGTAGAGATCAAAGGAGTAGAGAAAGAAAGCTAACAACAGCAAAGAGGTAACCCTTTCAATGCATATTCTCATCGCAAAACAACTAGTAATGATCGGCATATTCCAAAACGATAATTTTAAGGTGTCTTGTTTACCAAAAGCCTTTTTTCACTCGAGTATTGATGTACGTGATAACGAGAGCACTAGAAATATAGGAGACAAAAACGAAGCGGCCCATGAGAAAATGTAGGAATCAAACATTTTCAAACTAGTAAAGCGAACAGACGGAGAATAAACAGATAGTGAGAAAAGATTAAGTAACTTTTTGGTAAGTACAGTTAAGACACTAAGAAAATAAAAAATAAAAAAAGACGACAAGACAGTGACAAATGTGATGTGCAAACCATAAACCATAAGAATTAATAAATAATTTAAACCTGACCAGAATTAAAACATAACGAGAAAAGACCAGAACAGAATAATGACAGATAGCTAAAGGAAATGTAAGAATAGGTAGGAATAACAAGTTGAGAATGTAAGTGAGAAAAGAATTAGGGAATGGAGTTGAAAGTTTTGGCGAAAGGGGTGATTAATTGAGGGAAAACTGGGAAAAGATCTAATATAAAGCATAATGAGAAATAAGGAAGACGAATAAACGAAAATCGAGAATGTCGTTGGTGCAAGGTTGAACGCACACCGAGAACAGACAAATGGTACATATAAAGGATGGCAACTGAGAAAAGGGCGGCAACTGGGAATAAGGGGCCGTAAAACGTGAAAGACATTAGAACGGAAAGACATGATGACCGGCCATAGGCAAAAGAATAAGAATGTGGTACACTCCACAAGGACAGTTCTAGTTACCTCCTGATTCAGAACGATATTGGAGACAAAGAAAAATACGCCCTGCAAATGAATAAAACACAAATCAGTGCCTGAAAAAACAGCAATTAAGTATAAAAATCATCATCGGACAACAAACAAAGGGAAATGTTATTTCATTTTTTATATTGTATTTTAATCAAAAGAATAAAGTGACTATGGCTCTTTTACATCTACTCCTGGAAAACCTCGGATTTTTTGTGAACAAATGCGAAACAAAAGTTCCTCCCTTACACCAGCGTTAACGCATTGTTAGTTTGGACCGTAGAGTAAGCCATAGTAAACGATTTTCCCTTCCAGGTGATTTAAGGCGCGTCTGGTGTTCAGTGATACCGATGCACTCAGTAATCAACAAATGGAAAAAAATCTTCCTGACAAAATTTTGATGTAACAAAAATAATGAACGCTGAACTTTACCTGAGAAGAGTTGAGGAGAACAAAAGCGTACGACATTACCAATGAAGAAAGATTCGCTTGCAGAAATCCCAATAACCAAGTGACTCCAAGTAATGGTAGGAGTATTAGGCATCCTTTTAGTGCCATTCTAAAGCAGAGTGAAACAATACAATACATAAAGAAAATAAGGGAATCAGCCACCAAGTATTCTTTGGCGTACATTCCCTAAGAACCTAAGGAAAGTGTATTTTAGTTTATTTTAGTGACTGAACTGTAGCTTTATTTAGTTTTTTTAAATTGAAAGTACAAATTACTACCAGAACGTCTCCGGAAAATTTTGCATTTGAACACAACGCGATTTTTTCCAAATAACTTTCAAATTTGCTACCATTTTGGCAGTCCATTCTAAGTCTTCTCTCGAAAGCGTCGCGGGAACAAAAGAGCTGTGACGTAGATGAAAGAACTATGACACAAATTAAGGAAATGTTGACTTTAGATACAAATAGTTAAGTGTGGAGTTCTAGAAATATTTCTTCCAATTTCACAAACTGAAACTGCTGCTGAAAAACTGCTGACCTGCTGGTAACCGCCGTCTGGTTAGCTCAGTTGGGAGAGCGCCGGTCTGTCGAGCGGGAGGTCGCGGGTTCAAACCCCGGCCGGACCAACACTCTGGGTCTTTAAATAACCGAGAAGAAAGTGCTGCCTTTGTAACGACATCTGCAAATGGTTAGACTTTCTAGTCTTCTCGGATAAGGACGAAAAACCGTAAGTCCCGTCTGACAGCACTCTCACCGATCTGTTCATGTGGGACGTAAAAGAACCCACACCACTGTTCGAAAAGAGTAGGGGACGCAGGCCCCGGTGATGTGGCCAGCCTTTACGGGTTGTGGGATTGGGTAGGGATGGCACCTTGCATGAGACCTATGAGTCCCGTTCGTGCCTATTCCCTCTGGGCAGGTCTGTGTCCAGAAAAGCTAGTAAAACTAAAAGGTAAAACCTGCCAGTAAGATGAGTCGCAATGCAATGCAACAAAACTGACGACTTTAAAAGAAACAGATAAGCATGCATGAAATCGAGATCAGCGGAACGGGTGTGCCAAATAAATTTTTACTTAAAAAAGTTATAAAAAAAATTAAAGGCACTCTAAAAACGTGGTAAGAACACCAGTGACATATTTTGTAACTTTGTTGGCTGCAAGCTCTTTCATGACGTCACATTTGCTGACGTCATTCATAGGTAAATTTTATTTTCTAATTTTTTTTTCTGAATCTCCCAATTTTTCATAACAATTAGGAAAGAACTATTCAAGGGAAGTTGAATGCAGAAAACGTTTTTCCAATATTTCAAATATGAGCTGAGATATGACTTTTTGAAGTTGGATAAATTCGTACCACGGACAAGGGGTACCCCCATGAAAAATAAGTCTAAATTCAAGCGTTTCATTGTCTTGTCACCATTTCTATTTAAGATAAACATAACACATGACTGTTTATTGTCGAAACTTAGAGGAAAAAGAAAATTTGGAAAAAGGAAATTTCCACCTGTGCAAAAACCAAGAAAACAGTTTAGTGACGTCTACAATGTCAAGTGATCAGCGTTTTTAAATGATACGACTTTGGGCAATTATGAAAGGCTTATGTTACCAGAAAATCAGCTTACTAAGCCAAAAAATGTAAAGAAAAGGAAAAGTATTGTTCCGGGGATTCACTAAAATACCTTTAAAGTCATACGTGTCGTAACTTGAAACAGTTTTCAGCGTTTTACTAACCTTCTAATTATCTTTCAGATGACATAAGTTCGATATTGAAATTAAATAATTCATTTAACTCGTTTTAGGGACGGCAGCCATTGTGACGTCATTATTTGACATTTTGCAGTAAACAAAAAATTAAAAATACCGGTTCAACAACCGAAGTCTATCTGGCAAGTTTCGTGGAGAAATGAAGACATGTAAGAGATTTGCAAATGAAGCCTAAATAATAATTTTGAGGGGAGGTTCGCCCCCACCTTTACCACAATTTGAGGTCATTTGTGATCTATAACTGAACATGCACACAGGAAATGGATTTTTTGTCAAATAAATGACAAAGTTTTTCTGAAAAGATTCAGTCATTTGTCGATTTGGCCCCCGTAAGAATTTTATTTATTTATAGGGGGAGATCTCTGCCCGAAATGTATATATATGGTCAAACGTGGTTGAGGGACCGGAATCAAAGGGTAATAGTAGTAATAACGGGGGAAAAATTGTCACTACATAAGTGTTACTACAGAATTGAGATCGACCTACCAATAAAATGAGAAACGATGATTGTCCCGCCTGATTCTTGAAATGCCTTACCTGATATTGGAAATAAATGCTTGGTCACTAGCGTACTTCTGACGCCTCTCTGTTGTAGGAGATATCAGCACGCCGATAACCATTCCGAGAATGATTATATTTGTCTAAAACAGAAGACGAAAAAAGAAAAAAAACCTAATAGCACGTCTACGACACGCTTAGAGTCTCAAAAAGAACAAATCCACTGTTTAGGGTTTCCACTGCCCGGGTGATGTGATTGTACGCAAGCCATCTGTTAGGTACCGGCTAGGGCGTGAGTTGGTGTATGTAAGTCACTTTCTCTTAAGAATTATGTTACAAAAGGAAATCAGTGTCCCTATGGCCTCATTAAGTAATTTTTCAAACCCTATAATTTAAGTAATTTCATTAATTTTAACCATATGGATAACAAGTTTAAAGCTTAAAAAGCAACAAAATGGAGGAGCTCACACTATACAAGTTAATCTACGATGAAAAAGTTTTCTGGTTTGAATAATTAAGAACGTAGGCGTTCGGCTTCAATTCTAAAATGTAAAAATGCGCGACGATCAAAGCATATCAGACCACTGAAGCCGAGAGCTTGTGTATTTTTTAAAATATTCAGCCAGATGAAGTTTAGAGACCTTCCGCCACGAGCCTTAGCTCATATAGGACAGACAGGTACAGTCCTGTGATTACATGTTTTAACATTTACAGTAAAACGCCGCGAAGAAGAACCTAGGATTAAAGAACCTGCTGGCAGAAAGTGTCATTTTAATGCTCCAAAATATAAGAACCAGTTTCACCAAGAAAAATCAACAGGTTCTTATATACATATATACATTTTCATGAACATTTTGACCAAAAGTCTGGCTTTAATATGGGGAATTTGTATTACGTTATATTGTTGAAAACTGCATATCTTCTAGCTGTTAACCTAGTTTTGTAGATTTTTGGTAAATAAATGCCTATTATGAAGGACAAATAACATTTATAGCAATTTCTTGTAACCAACAACAGTATCCTTTTTCATAAAAATTAAGAACCTGATTAAGAACCTATTTAGCCTGCACTTCAAATAAGTAATCCAAACTATAAGAATCTATTTTGCCAAACTTCAAAAAAATCTAGGTTCTTCTTCGCGGCGTTTTACTGTATATATTTTATATGTTGTATATGTTTGTTTATTATTGATTATTACTATTATAGAAAATCAACGTACCAAAATAACTACCACAACTGGAGGTAACAAGAGGGAAACCAGGACGATTTCTGTCATCCAGCATCTACAAAAAAAAGACAACATTAATCATCTCACAAATCACCTGTCGCTGCCGGCACTGTGTTCTGTGATTTTGTTTTTTTAGATACTTGGTATTTGGTAAAGATTAAAAGAGCCAAAAAATTTAAGTATCAGTGTTCATTCTCAACTGTTTACTTGATTATTTTACAGAAAATTATAGAGGTACGCTAAAATGTGGATAAGGGATAAAAATCCGACCGTGAAATATCAAAAGTGTTCATACTACTCACATATTTCCTATACCATAATTGTCCCAAAAAATAGCTACTGACAAGGCAGTTATACCGGTAGGTAAACCTGAAATAAACCGAAAAGTAAACGCGGTTATTTGCCTTTTAGCCTTGACATGTTTATTGCGAATAAAAACAGGGCATATTCAGCTATTCATGCAAATGCCTCCGCCTGGGAAACCTTGGGCTGGGGTAGCTAATTGGAAACGAAAAAAAAATCGAGCGAAAGGAATGAGAAGAGTGCCACTGAACACTTGTCTTACAGAACAGTTTCAGGAACTTTTTTGAATCCTCTGCTTCTGATTGGCCATAAAAACATTTCTGATCAACCGAAGCTTGCAAGAAATTCAAATGGGAATTGATTTTGTGACAGTAAGTGCCCAGGGGATTTTCCGTTCTTTGTGACAACTAGTGATTTTGCTACTCAATGTACTGTCCAAAGGAGCTCTCCTTGGGACCACTCAACAAACGATGCAGTTGAACAGAAAATCTGACAAAATGATCAGGTTTGAGCAAGACTCGAACTCTGACCTTTGTATTTACTGGACGCATGCTTGGCAATCAAGACACATATCTAAAGTACCATTACTTTGCATAAATTGATCAAAGTGCGCCAGGATCACTATAACTCATATAGAAAAAAAATGAAGAATCATGAAACAACAGCAGCTAACTACTAAGTAAGCCTACCATATCCTAAAATGTAGTATCTCTTGAGTAAACTCTTCTTTTCAGCGGTTAAAACTTTGATTAGAGACAAATACAGATGCCACCCTTCTACTAGCATCCAGGAGAACATAGCAGTCAGGAAGAAGTGTAAAGCAATCCCTGTTGCCTTGCACAGCCACTAAAAAGATTAATATGGTAACTTAAATCATCACTTAGCAAGAATCAAACATATCCAAACACTTCGACGATTAAGGTTTGGTTCAAAAGACAAAATTTTGACGTTACCTTGTTATCAGTCTGATCGGCTCCAAAAAGAAAAATCAGTGTAACCGCACCCATGTTAAAGGCCAGATTTTTGTGTACATGAATGTGATCTCCCTTGAGACTGGAAACAGAAATTTTGTAGATATCAGTAACAGGGTGGCCAATTTTTAATATTTAGATAGATCAAAAAAGGGAATTTGCTTACTGTAAGATACTGAAGATAAATACGGCAAGAAAACAGCAAGCGGCTGACAAACCACATCCAACGTAAGTTATTATGGAAAGAGTTATGTCATGAACTTCAACGATGTCCTGTAAAAAAGTAGTAAATTTAGTATTTGCCCTTGACGAAAACGTTTTTTTATTGATGTTCGACAAGAATAGACCTTAATGCATGAGAAGATTCGTCCTTAATTAAGCGCTCGTGCACACGTTTGGAGAAATGCCGTCTTGTTTCATCAGTGTGAAGCCCTTTGGGAAAAAAGCAATGCTCACGCCGAACAAATTATTGACTTTGAAAGTGCTAAAAACTAGTCTGATATGTAGATATAGCCGAAAGAATGTGGTTTCTTGGGTAGAAAAGAATCAGGCCATACCTTGAAGCATTATCGATTTCGTAACAAAAGAGAAACGTCTTTTCAAAGAATAAATTGTTCTAAAGCGAAAACGCGTTATAGACGCGCTTTCACCTTAAGCATCGAAGTCCCGAGGGGAGGGGGAGGGTGAGAAATAACATAGTTACAAACTAATGTCATACCGGAGAGCCGTGTAAGTCGAAAAGAAGTGCAAAATTGGTGAGATGAGAGCAGTGGCATGTGGTGTGGGTCTTGTTGGCTTCGTAAACAAAACATCCGCTATCAAACCAGCGATCGTCAGGATCACTAGAGGAAACACAAAGTGTCATTGTGAAAACTTAATAGACGGATAGAAGATCCTTATGAATGTACTATCATAATGATTTGTATTTACTTACTCTGATTCCATGTTAAGAAAGCCACAAATAACTGGCATGCTACTATTAGCATCCTGGAAAAGCAAAGCAAACATCGCGCCACATCAGTCAATGTTCTCTTGGTTGAAAAAAGATTGAACGATGGAGGGAATAATATCAACCTAGTAAGAATCTATCGTTAAACTGAAGACGAAAACAATCGTAAAGGCCATTGTTGTTCCTCCAGACAGTGAGGCTGCGACATCGTCAGAGTGGGAAGAGATCATTCGACCTCCACACACCTTTAGGGCTTTAGTTAGCAGGAGGCACCAAAATAATGCCGAGTTAAAAAAGATTGATTTTTCTAGTGAAAATGAAAAATGCTGAAAACCCCCATGGTTGCTATTCCCCAACAGAGACCACTTTAGCGCCTCGCGCCTTCGATGATTGCTGATCTTTCCTCGGCTCTCTGGCCACAGTCCTGACCTTAAAAATCTGATTAAAAACAGTGACTTGTTAAGTTTATGACATTTCCAGAAGCGTTAAGGATGTTCAATTGTGACGAATGTTATACGTTTTATACTGGCAGGACTCGACAGGGTTTTGCACTGAGACGAACGCAGATGGATAGGAGTCTTCGACAGATCCGCAAGAAAGACCATCTAATACTTGACGCAGTCGCAAATTGTTGTCGGGGCAGGGGGGTAATCTGAGGTTTAGGTGAGTATTGATGAAAGTTTTTATTTAGTTGTAATGATCTTTCTTTTAGCAGGAATGTTGCTTTTACAATCGTTCTGGGCTAAGCTAATAGGATATCATGTTTGGTAGATAAAAATTAAGTAGGAAATCGAAAGATTTAGCCAACGTCATCCATTATGGTGGCTTGTGAACAGGCTCTCTGTTCGGGAAAAGGGTGAAAAAATCGCGAGGAGAGGGAAAGGATACAGGCTCTCACCCTTTCCCTCCCTCTCCTCGAGTTTTTTTTTCACCTCTTCCCCAAACAGTGAGCCTGTTCACAGGCTAACATTATGACATCATTATTTATTTGACTCAACTTGATTGGTGAAAACTTTCGAGGAGTCGTTTTTCTCATCTCGACTGAGTCACCAAGAAATACGGAGTGATAGTTCCTCGGATTGGCAACAGAGCAATTATAATTGTAAAACAAATACTCTTGGTCTGATAGTTAAGTTTGGCAGAAAGATCAAAATGAAAAGCTTATTTCAAAAACTTACCAATCGTTCAAACACCAATACTATCGGATCTTGCAAGGACTGATAAAACTTTGCTTCCTCTGTGACAATTTTTCCTGATATAATGATGGAGTTAAGCTGAGATTCGTTATAAGGCTCCTGCGCTCCCATTCCTTCCAGGGATCTGAAAAAGTCGACCAAAAACGGGATATTTTTATTGAATCCTGTGTCGGTTAGTTCATTATCTGAGACAACTCATGCAAACATTTTTAAAAAATTGTTGTAACCACACGAAATACTCTTCGCTAAATGTTTTCACCGGCCGCCAGACACTAGATGAGGCCTTGGTAGACTTAGACGGCGGATATTAGGACAGCTATCGTTATTTATGAAGTTAATGGAACTTGACAACATTTTTTTCTTACCTTATTTCTAGTAGTGGATCAGATGTAAGTAAATTATCCAGATGTTTATAGAATATTGAGCACACACATGTGTAGTATGCTATGAAAGTGAAAGGAATAAATTAAAAAATTATATTATTTTTAACCAATAATTTTTAACTACTTGTTTTCGTTTACAAGGCTTCACAAAACAAAAAATATTTAAAATTTATTCATTCAATATCTTACCGTTAATGATGTAAACATCGTTCGCGAAAGTGCCTCCCTTTCCATTGACACAATTTTCCGCTGGCCCATATCTGTTGTATGTGAGATGCGCTGTAGGACTGGACGCACACCAACCGCCATCTTGGACAGCAAAGACCTTCCAGCCGCGACTCCTAGTCACTTCTGCACACTTTTCCACAGCATTCTTACGTGTGAGAAAGCTACCTTTTAGCAACTGATGTGTTCCTTCCATGGTGGGCACTGCTCGGTCTTGATCGTTATCATTAAAACAACCAAGGCTAGAATAGAACCCTGTAACGCAATAAAGAAGCCACAATAATTCACGCGCTAGATAATGACTGAAATTACATCATCTTAGTCTATCGGAGTTAAAGTAACATTAAACCGTACGTTTAGCTTTTCTTTGTCCTTATTGTACTGGTTTCCTTTTTTTACTACTGACATACGTTTTATCAAGTATCGTATAAACACCTTTATTTTGAAAGGCACCTCATGCAAACCGGAAAAAATAAGTAAATTTTCTTTTGACCCACCTGAGGCTAACTTATCGCTCAGGGCGTCTTTAAACAACGTCGGTGGAAAACCAATTTCATTAAGAAAGAGCGTCTTATTTTCGCCCTCCTTCGTTACGTTAGTGATCAGGAAACGTACAAGGCCCTTGAACTCAATCATCTCAACAACATCAATTGATATTTCTGTTTCATTCAAAAAAGAGTGAAAGAAAACAGCAAGGTTATAATCCTTGAGCAGTAAATGTTGTTTTAATTGGAGCGGCCTATCAGGATGTCATCCCGCTGCAAGCATATAAGCTTGTCAGAATGTCACCCTGTTAGCATCTGAGCATGTAAGCCTGTTAGCCTTCTACCTTGTGAGGATGTTAGCGTGTGAGACCGTGTAAGCATGTCAGTCCGGATCCGTGTGCATGTCACCTTCCTATGAGCATATGGTCACGTCATCGTGTCAGCCTGTCATCCTGTCAGTGTCAGCCAGTTCTCAACCATTAAGTGTGTTATCGTGTTATCAGGGTGTCAGCACGTGTCAACTTGACGTCAGCATATAAACTCTGTCCAAGGACTTGCGCTCAAAATGGCAGCTTGTCAATCTCAGTGAGAGCATCCAATATTGCTCTAATGAGCACAATGCCCCGTCAACACGAATCCAGATTTTTTAAAACCGCATCGTTGTTTTTTTTAATTTATTAATTTACAAACTTATTTAAGAGGCCTGGATAACTCACAGAGCAAGCTCCTCTACGAGGTCTAGAATCGGCCTTCCTCTCCGCACAAAACCTGAGGCAATCTGCTCACCGAAACTGTACCTCTTTGAAACCGCTCTCCAGCGCTCTGTTCTTTTAATCGCCAACGGATTTGCCAGTTCGTATCAACGATTGAAACTGGATATCAGTCTTGCAATTCATTTAAGAGTAGCTAACAGCCTGCCAGGATTTGTGTGGACCAGGCCTGATATGTGGTTCTTTTACAAAAAAGTACCACGACCTCATTCTTAACTGCGTTAAGTTCAATTAAATGCGGTTATTAGATGTCATTACCAACATTGGGGTATTTGGCTTTTAGACTAAGGTTGTGAAACTTGTCCGGGTCAGTAATTGCGTTATTAAGCATGTCACGAAGCTGCTGGTGTGCAACTGCTTCGGTAGTACCCTCTAAAGCTTTCATCATTTCTGTGGCCTTGATTGCGATCTACAACAATAAATTTAAGAAGAAAATGTTTTCATCAATATGGTTTAGTCCAGTCACCTTGTAATTTAACATCAAACTAATAGCAACATTGACAACTGTGTTTTTCAGCCCCATTTAATTGTTGGATGGCTACTTGACAACACACTAAAAAACCGCCAAAATCCGTTCGGTGGAACATGAAAATAATTGGCAATAACGATTTCCAACTTTCTACACAAGAGACCCAATTTCAGGAAAAATCATCAATTTAGACAAAAGGTGTGATCATTGTGAGTTTTTTTAAGAACCCTAGATGCAACATCGCTATATATTTTGGCTAGTTTTGTTTTAAAAATGCCGACTAAATGTGTGAGAAACACCTGGATCATTGCTAATTATTAGGTAACGGCTTTCGTTTTTCACCCTTAATGCCTTACGACTAAATTTGTAGTGATTTAAAGCTAACAGTTCACTCTGTTACTTTGTAAGCCCCGTTGTTTTGGGGTTCCTTCAAAGGAGAATGGCTTCCAAAAATAAACACTTCTTTTTTATCACCGAAAACTAGGTATAAGATGTTATTATATGGCCGTGTTTCAAAGGACTGGAAACAAACAAATTTAAGAATTTGATTAGCTAAAATCGATCTTGACCGCGGTCTAGCCTTTCCCATCTAGACCACCATCTAGACCGATCTTGTTGTAGCAGTTGTCCTCAAAGTTACAAACAAATAATATGAAAAAATTGGCTTGTTCCTGTTAATAATACTAAATGGAAGAATCAATCGACCTTCACGAGGAAGCAGGTAAAGAAAAACGAGCAAACGTTGGCAAATTTGAGTCTTGCCGAGGAAGCTACGAGCAAAGATGAAGTCGAAATTGAGAAATTTTTGCAGGAGCAGAAATCAAAAAACACTAAATACAAGACTAAGAGCGATTTTAACGCATGGAAGAAATTTTGTGAATCACTGAAAGAGTCCAGAGCAATTGAAAACATACCTGCCAATGAGCTCGACCTTCTTTTGTCCAAATTTTTCATCTCCGTTCGTTAACAAAATGACACTGAGTACGATGGAGCCGAGTACAAAGACGCGTTTGCTGCAGCCAAACTCGATGACACAAACAAGAACAAGGTTTCTAATCTCTCCGTTAGAAAGACCAGTGTTGGACGACTTCTCGAAGCAGACGTTCAGCCAAACTTCGTTGCACAGCTAAAAGCGGTCACAAAAATTTGAAAAGCCTCGACAGAGAGAAATGTCTGTTACCCTGAATCGTGAGCCAGGTACATCCGCTCAGTCCGAAGAAAACCAAGTCAGTACCTCCATTACAACACAGCAAAATGTCTTCACAGTCCAACAAATCCAGCCTCAGGCAATGTTTGCCGGAGCGCATATTGACAAGTTCGAAGGCTGCACATTTAACATCAGCGTTTTCTGTTGTGATCAGTCGAAGATCGCAAGGCTGAATGAGAACTGATCGCCGAGCGATCGAGGCACAAACCGGCATTACTTACATTGCAGTTGCATTTTTGTTCACTTTTCATAAATTGTTGTGTCAACCACAAGCTTTTTCATTGAGCCTGTATGAAAACTTTTGTCTTCATTCATTGACGAAGTTTGTAGAAAGCTGGACTTTGAACAATTATTTTGGTCCCGTTTGGACTGGAGACCAGTGACAGAAGAAAGCCAGCTAAATGCTTGAGCCTGCGCACGGAAGAAAATAAAATTATTTATGTTTTTGTTCCTTTGCTTTCTTGTTTGGCCATATAATAAACATCTTATTAACCGAGTTATTTAAGTTTTCCGTAAAAGTAGCGAACACATTTTGGCATTTTTCGTTTGAACGTATAATTTCATCTCACGTGCGTGTCCTGTGTTAAAAGCTCAAAATGTTTAAAACTTTATTTCGAAATGTTTTACCTAACGGATTTTGTCTGATAGATAGGCCACCCTCACTTTAATGGCGTTGAAGACAATTCTGTTGCAATTAGTTTGATGTTGAGCCTAAAAAAATGCCTACATTGACTGGACTAGTTGTCATACAGCAAGAATAGATAACCGTTATTCACCGAAGTGGAGGTGGCTAGTGGTGGTAGTTTACCGAGGCCGCGTTACCGTCGAGGTAAATATCCACCACTAGCCACCGACTCTGAGGTGAATAATTGTTTTAGTATATACTAAAACAGTGAGATAACTAAGCACAAAAATGATGAGTTTTAACTCATTTACTACTGCCAACGATTACAATTTTGGCGCGCGATGACCGAACGACCGCGGTCGTGGCTTTTTCTTGCCGACAAATAAATTTTCGAAGACATTTGTTTAGCTCTTGCGGGGAAATTTCTTCAAAAGGAGTTGTGAATTCTTTTTGTATTTAAAATCATTCTGTAAAAAAGATTATTAAATTTAGTTTTACGCTTATTTATGAACAAGTCAACTAAATAAGGTAACGCAAGACTTAAGCTTAATTTGCATTTGTAAACAAAGAACTTTTTCACCGGTTTTATCGATAAATTCAAGTCAAAAAGACAAGACTTTACCTGTTAAAACGTCCAAACCGAACTTCGTCACCTTCTTCGTGTATTTCGGGAACAGCTTGCTTGATTAGTTGTGAAATTTCTTTTTTTGTTACGGCAGCAGACCGGGAAGGCATTTTGCTCGCAACTTACGCGAGTTTAGAATCGCTCGCTCGGAGGAACTGGAGGTGAATCAATGAATAGCGCAGGATATTCACTGATTGAGTAACCAATCAGAGCGCGCGAAAAACACTATCCACTGTTTTAGTATATACCAAACAGAAATACCACTGATAATGGATATTTGCTAGAATAAAAAACGACTCACCTGAAACTGCCATGGAACAGGCAGATGTTTTAATAAGGTAATTTTACACACAATAAAGCATGTTTTAGTAATATTTTGAATCAATAATAAAAATAATTATTGGATTTGACCTCCGTATGATATATAACAATTATTCACCGAAGTGGAGGTGGCTAGTCGTGGTAATTTACTGAGCTGCGAAGCAGCGGGGTAGATATACACCACTAGCCACCGACACTGAGGTGAATAATTGTTTCAGTATATACTAAAACGGTGAGATAATTTAGCACAAAAATGATGATTTTTCACTCAAATACTGTTGCCAACGATTACATTTTTGGCGCCTAATGACCGAACGGCCACGGCCGTCGCTTTTTCTTGCCGACAAATAAAACTTTTGAAGACATTTGTGTAGCTCTTGCGGGAAAATTTCTTCGAAAGGAGTTGTGAATTCTTTTTGTATTTAAAATCATTCTGTAAAAAAAGATTATGAAATTTAGTATTATGCTTATTTATGAAAAAGTCAACCAAATAAAGTAACGCAAGACTTAAGCTTAATTTGCATTAGTAAACAAAAAACTTTTTCTTCTTCTTCTTCTTTTTTTTCAGTTGTGAAAGGCATTTTGCTCGCAACTTACGCGAGTTTGGCGTCGCTCGCTCGGAGGAACTGGAGGTGAATCAGTGGATAGTGCAGGATAATCACTGATTGAGTAGCCAATCAGAGCGCGCGACTATCAACACTATCAACTGTTTTAGTATATGCTAAAAAGAATTAATATTAGCCCGAACATCTCGGAGCCGGGGTGTTATCCGCTGAGGCCGGAGGTATGACATTTTGATCTGCATTATTCTTTATATCACACTTCTAAAGCCTAATTTCATAATTGCTGATTACCTTCACATATAAGCAAGGACTTTTAAAAGAGGACCACTTTACCTTTTCCATACCGTTCCAGGCTTGCCTATTTTCAGTATGCAACAAATTGTCAACCGCACCACTCATAACCTGCCCAAAAAATACACGCTCTTATAAAAGCTGTTTTCTAAAAAAAAATATAGACCCTTCCACATTTTTTTCTTCAACTTCTGACTGGGACTGGTCAGTAAGCGAACAGAAGGGGGGCAAGTTCGTGTCCCCCACCATATAAACGTCTGTAAAATTTCGCGACTTTGTGTACCTTTAAACTTAAGTAAACACTTGGTAAGTTTCCTAATTTTAAGGCGCTCTTTTCAGCAGTGTAAATGGATATTCGTTCATTGACCTTTATCAAAACTTGAAAAGAAAAAAAAAACGTGGAAAGGTCTATTGCTATCTCTGTTAAAGCGGCCTAATCCATTTAACAAAATAGGTTTGACTTTAGACTCCGGTGGACAAAGTAAATAAACTGAGAAATCATAAGAATTCATAAGAATTCTTACCTCTAGAAAGCAAGTTAATTCATCCTTGGTAACGTTCTGCATTGTGCCGTTAGTTTGTTGAGTCAGAATAGCCATAATATCTATCGTAGCATAGATATCTCCGGCATAAATCTTGTCAACTCGTGGATCCAAGATATTACGTAATTCTTTACTGACTTCGAGGAGGTCTGTAAACTTTACGTCTTCGTTCAGCAACCGTGAAAGCTACCCAGGAAAGGAGCAGAATGAATATCAGAAATAAAAACCTATGAATTTGTTAAATAGTACCTGCTTTCAGTTTGTTTTACAGTGCACATGACTCTTAACTTCTTGTTGGATGTATAAGGACTATGGAAAGTTGTTAGGCGGATGATTGCAGCAGCGAATGTCAAATCTCAGTTTCTAGTCTCTATTTGAACAATGGCGATAATCATTAACCTTATGCACTGTCATTGTAAGATATTTTATAGAAACTTGCCTTTTGTTGAAGTTCATTCATTGCTTTAGTGATGCAACGCGTAAGATCTGGCACTCCCCATACTCCCTTGTCACGTCCGTTGTAACATGTCCTTCTTGCCTCACCTGGTTAAGAATTTTGAAGCTATAATCAGCTTCGATGGTTTGTATCGTGCGCCTTCTCCTATGCGCTTGCAGTGTCAGCACCTTATGAAAAAGATAAACCCGGTGATCTAAGCCAATAAGTAACTGGTCCCCTTGTGACACGGAAACGACGAAATCGCTTCTTGTTAGCTGTTTCAGTCTACAGAAGGCCCACAATCACAATGTCTTTAGCTTCAAATGCTGACAGCAGACATAAAAAAATGTTTACAGCAGACTAAAACGCCCTTTTCGGGCAATAGCCCAGAAAATCGAATAGCTTAAAGTCGAGCCGATCTTAGAAATTATTTCGAAACACAGAAGATGGTAATGACACCTTCTTTTCGCCGTTTGACTTGACACTTTAACATAAAGAATTCACACACAAAGAATTCGAAACCAGGCTATTACGCTTTGTTATACACAAATTACTTCTAATAGCATGTATAACTAAAACGCTTTCTACTTTGTTCTTCGTTGCTTTGTTGTAGTTGATAAGTACTGACCTGTCAAGTGGTCCTGAGGACAGGGCTTGATATCAGTGCTACTAGCCACAGTGTGACTCCATAAAATGTCTTGACGCCATCCAGCAGCACAGAATGCATAGTCGCCTTCCGAGGCTGCGCAGAAGAGAGACAAAAATTACTACGTAATGCTAATCTGTTACAGTTAAAACTCATTGCTTTTATTCGTGCAGCTTACCCCGGCATTTTTTTCTATCACTGTGAAGCGTAAAACCACGATTACACAAGCAATGGTAACTGCCGCCGGGACTGTTGAGGCACACATGCTGACAGCCGCCATTGTTCACTGCACACTCATCTAGGTCTAAGGATGTCAAATAAAAGATGAAGAAAAAATCTGTCTGACTCTCGATCTTTAAACCAGCCTGTCAGTAACATTAACTCAAGTAACAATAGATATTACTTCAACTGAAATGAAGATGACGTGACTTTGTACATATGATATATATATGATATATGATATGACCGTCGCATTGTAGTAGCAATTTAAGCAAATGAAAATTAAACCGGAAAAATTGACACCCACACACTAGGAACAAGCCAATTTGTCACGTTCATCTTTACCCGTGGAAGGAATGAGACGTAGAATGAAGATAATACGAACTGCGGAAATACAAATTTAAATGAAGCTCTATATTTAAGTGTTACATATGGTGCAATATTGCCTAATCCCAAAATGGCTAAAGAGCTCTTTAAGACTCGAAACAAAAGGTGTTAGGAAATCGCTAAATCGCATTGGGTCGAGAAAATAACAACACAAAAACCAAACAAACCAGGTAAAAAAGGCAAAGCGTTGTTTTCCGTGAATTCGTCCTTCACCCATACAAATCCTTTGTGTTGACAGCCTTTCAGTTTGTGGTTTGCAGTATTGTACTACATGTAACTCTCATACAGAGCGTGGGCCGCATGTGGTGTTTTTAGTACTTGACACTTAAGTAGTGTGGTAGGGACAGAAGTTTCCGCTTTTTGCGCAGGAAGACATTAAAACCGATGACGTCATTACCAAGAGAGGATAAAGGGGACAGAGAAGGCATCCCCCAATACACACCCTATTCCATAGGTAATTCGTCTTGAGTTATTTTTAAGACCACAGATCCCAAGGGGGATTAGACAACAGCCAATCTCATAGCGTGAATGTGTTCCGCGTGGATGACCCACGATCAGAGCCACGCGTCCTTCACGAATTGACGCAGACCAAAATGGGGGAAGACGCGGAGAGCGATATTGATATTCGTTTTCTCGACGAAAACGACTACAGAGAGATTCCTGCTAGAGCTGTGTCAGCGAAACGGAAATTAAAAAAAAATCGCCCTTCCTGGCTTGTTTCTAAGCATTGTTACGACGTTGATTCGAGCGAAGCTGAGAGTTCTAGCGAAGAAGATGAAAAGTCAGTGCAAGCGAGGAGGAAGCTATAACCGAAACGGAGAGTGCCAATGAAATACAAGAAAACGTAGAAAGCTTTTATTCCGATGATAGTTCAGCAGATGAAGCGAAGAGGAGGAAAAAAGCAGGGAAGCCTAAACCTGCGCCCTCGAGTTCGATCATCACCAAATCAAGCAAAAAGGCGCCAAATAAATCAAATAAACGGAACAAGAGTCCTTTGGAAGAAGAGATGGAGCGATTCCCTTTTCCCAGGTGAGCGCCGACTCATTTCGCTTCAATATTCAGGAATGCTCTCGATCTTTGAACGGCGTTTAGTCTTGCGAAACCTCCACGCAGCGCGAGAGGTAACTTAATCCCGATTCTAAAAATAACTCGAGACGAATTACCTATGGAATAGGGTGTGTATGGAGGATGCCTTCTCTGTCCCCTTTATCCTCTCTTGGTCCTAACCTTTTGCCTTGAATAAAATGCAGGGGAATATCATTATCTTCTCTTTTTGTGCTTCTAATACAAAAGAAACAAAGGACCTGCCCAGGCTTACCCGAACAGGAAGTAAGAATATGTGACCCTCCACAGGATTTTGATGCTAAAGGCGAAAGCACACTCCAGCCACGCACAACACGCTTAGCGTGTCTTAGATCACGGATGTGAACATATTAAATTGCTAAAACAAAGAAGGAAACACCTGGCTTTGTTTTGTAAAACTTAGCAGGCCAAATCTTTTGTTTCATGTAGCGTGCTATATGTCACGGTAAGCGTGCGTTTTAGAACACTCTTACCGTGCGATTTGAGTTTTACACACGCTAAACACGCTAGATTACTTACAGCAGCAAAGGATGAGAAAAATTAAATGGCTTGTGCGTTTAGTGAAATGAAATGCAACTGATAGCTAGTCAACAAAACTTAAACCGTTTTGTTACAATAAAAAACCGAGATATATCTGTTAAAAGGCAATTAGATTTGTTTCATTGAATTTGATGTTAACTAACTAACTTGTATTTTAAAAACACATTTTGGAAGTCGGCATTTTATGTTTTGCTTTGAATGATACACTTGGAGATTCATTATATTAGCTATTCAGCTTTATCCAGGTTATATATTTTGTGTTTATAATAGGATGGCTCGACAACAGTATCATTTTGACCACTATTCCCGACAAATAAACTTCAAGATCAAGTATCTCTTTCGCCATCGCGACTGATCACGATCCTGGTTTTTTTTAACTCAAGAGTCTAGTTTTGAGTACTTTTGAGCAGTACTGTAGCTTTAGATAACACGCCTTGTGTGCTTTCGAGCACGCTGAAAGTGTGTTGTGCTATTTCGCACGCAGTTGTTTTTTTTAAACTTTAAAACGCTCTTTTGTTTGACTTGCTCACGCTTAATTGTCTCAAGCGTGTCCTCTGACACAAAAGAAATTGCTAATGAGACAAGATGGCAAGCGTGCTAAAGCGTTTTAAAATAAATTCTTTTGTTTTAAAGTGGACACGTTTTGTGAGCTTGTTTTCGCCTTCTATTTAACATTAAAATCCTGTGGAGGGTCACATATGAACTTTTATGGGAGGAATAAGCGAAAATTCGCCTGTGACTTAGGCCCTGTTTACAAGGAGGGAGGGTAACCTTGGTGCTAGGGTTACCCAAGCACTTACATATTTCTTCTTTTTTCACACGACGTGCTTAAAAGGCAGGTAGGGTTACCCTAGCGCTAGGGTAACCCTACCAGAGTGCTAGGGTTACCCTACCGCCCTTGTATACGCTCTAATAGAGATAACTCGCCTACCCGGGTCAACTTTCCGCCGTCACGCGTGATCAGTAATCGTGCCAATTTGAACGGTATTGTCCAATTTCGGAGCTTAGTTATAAACATCTGTCTACGATGATAATATTTTCCCTTTTTTTCGTGAATTTAACGCGTTTTCCATACAGAACTTCAAGATTATTTCAAAACTTGGACCGTTACAAAGAATGTCACGCATGGCGAAACACGCCATGCAAAGCAAAGCAAAGCTGGTAAAGTTGACTCGGGTGATAGGTTAACCCCACCTGTAAAGTTTGCTCGTAAACCAGTGATAACTTTAACCCGCTTGCTAGGGTAACCCTCTCTCCTTGTAAACAGGGCCTTAAAAGGACTTAGTCGTTATGCAAGTTCTATTTCCCTACCCCTCCCATTGTCAACAGTTGTTAACGTTCCGGTTCACTCATTCTTGGCGCGCAAATCGTGAATATTTAATGAGGGCGACAGCAAACTGGCTCTTTCTACCACCAAAAACAACTTTTTTCACTTTTTCTCCTCCCATTTTTGCTTCTCCACATTTCTATAGCTTTCCCACCACCACCACCACCACCACCGCAGTTTTGTTTTCCTCTTTGTTCCACCTACACATTAATGACCCTAAATTGACCCTTCATCGACTCTACATGGACCCCACATGGACCCCATATCGACCCTACATTGACCTCACATCGATCCCACATCGACCCTATGACTGTCGTTTAACTGAATTTTTAGCCTGCGTTTGGCCTTTCTGACTTTCTAAATAACCTGTTTGGTAGAAAAGCAATAAAAATGAGGAGGAGGAGGGAAAACAATAGAAATGTTACGGTGGTGGTGGTGAAGAAGAAAAACAGTAGAAATGATGTGGTGATTATGGTGGTGGAGGGAAAACAAAAGACATATCCAGGTGGTGGTATGTAGCTTTACTATTCATGATTAATATCATTACAAATAAACTTTGTCGAAAGGAAAGGTGGACGTAGTGTCGATGTAGGATCTATGTAGGGTCGATGTGGGTTGCATGTAGGGTCGATTTAGGATCGATAATGTGTAGTTGAATGAGGAGGGAAAACAAAAATGCTGTGGTAGTGGTGGTGGTGGGAAAGCAATAGAAATGTGGAGAAGACAACAATTGTTGATAATGAGAGGGACAGGAAATGGAACTTGCATAATTACGTTACGACTCAGTGATTTTAAGTCAAGGACGAGTTTTCGCTTATTCCTCCGATAAAAGTTCATATTCTTACCTCTTGGTATGTCCTTTGTCCTCTGTTGTTTAGAAGCACAAAAGGGAGAAGATAATGATATTCTCCCGCATTATATTCAAGGCAAAAGGTTATGACGTCATCGTCAGGCGAGCTAGCGCTTATTTCTCCCATAAAAGTTCATATTCTTACTTCCTGTTCAGCCAAGCCTAAGCAGGTACTTTGTTTCTTTCGTATTGGAAATACAAATAGAGAAGATAATGACATTTCCCCGCATTTTTCTCCTGATACAAAGACAAAAGGCTATGACATTCATCAGCGTTAGTATATTCCTGCCCAAGTTAATGAGATTACTGCGCAAAAAACGGATAATTTAGTCCCTACCATACTACTCACTTGAAAGCCTTTTCAAAGCAATACAAAAAACCGCCAAACGATGATCAACATGCAAACAATATGCCTGTACATATCATATCAGGGGGGAGTTTATGTACAAACAATATATCTCAATATATATTTTATTTACAAATAATATATCTCTTGCAATATATATTACAAACAATGTATCTTTCGAATTCTACTTAGTTTACTCTATCGCATGCTGCCTTACTTTACTCTTGATTACGAGATAATCATGTTTTTCTTTTCAAATTAATTTGGTAGCCAACTTACCAATACAATTTATTCCATCACCAATATATCCTCTCGCACAGGTACACTTAAAGGAAGTTCCGTTTCTGGCACAAAAAGCATGCTCAGAACACTTCACTGGACAGTCAATTCTCTCTGTTTAAAAAAGGGAAAATATCTTTTAGTTTTATGTTCGGTTGAAGCCTTTTCTTGCCCATCTTTGTCCGCTCACTCAATAATCCTCCAAACATACCAGCTACTTGCGTGACTTGATAATCTCCCATCTCAATGGCCAGATTTCCTAGTCTACCCCTCTTGACGGCCAAGTTAAGAGGTGTGATAGGAAGTACTGCCTCAGCCTCAAATACCATCCAGAATTCAGCTAGTACGACTCCATCACTAGTAGAAATGAAATATGTAGAGTAAGAGTAATCGATGGGACCTCTACATAACGTTACATTTATTGAATCGTCAAGTTAAGGTGGCTCGACTGGATTTTTTGGGGTTGATACCTCCCAACTTTGAGCATTAACTACGTCGGGATGAGTAAAGATATGGAAAAAAGGTTACCACAACTGTATTATATAAAGATGAAAATTTCTTATGATCTGGGTTTTATTGCAATCGGAGTCGCCATGGCAACGTAATGACGCCATTACGTTTTTCATTTATCTTTGTGTTTCTCTGTTCCAGGAGTTTTTTGAAGAAATCGCTTTAGGGAGTATGTACCTGCTAAAATTGCCTCCATTATGGCGTAGTTTGAACAAATTCTATGAGAGCGTTTTCGAAATATTTTGAAATGTAGTTTTAAGAATAATAAAAACAGTGAAATAGCATGCTACCTACACAATTCGCTAATATTTTAAGAAAATGATAAACTTTGGAAACGAGGCTTCATCTCATAGTGGTTTGATTCCATTGAAAACTGCATACGAAAAAAGAGGGGAATTGCTCTGGGCGATCGCGAGTAAGAAGAATTTTATTAACTTGCGTTCAGCTGCTTTTGATACAGTTTTTGGACGTAATTTGGTCCATGCCTAAAAATTTCGCATTTTTCCAAAAACCGCTCGATAAATTTTTTTATAAATTCGACAATCCCGAGATCAATTGTCAAGAAATATTCCCTGCAAGTTTCAAGAACATTGAAAACAGGGAAGGCTTTTAAATAGGGCCTCAAATATAGCCAATTTTTTCCCCAGATTTTGTGTTTACAAGTGAGCGTCCTCATTATTCACTGGCATTGTTTTCAAGTTTCATATACACGTGCACATTTAGCAAAAAGATAGAATTTGCATCAAAAAGGACCCTCGGTTAAATCTCCGGGATATGCTAATTACCGGGTAAAGAGATTAATGATATATTATAACATCAGAGCAACTCTTTGTGAGAGTTTCTGTGATGTTATAACCCGAGTAAGATAATTAAGTATTCCATCCTACACGATGAGCCGTGACCTTCACCGTTTCGGCTCTCACTGCTGTCTGTGACGACAAGCCAATTATTAGCATACTCCAGATATTTCTTCGGAAAGTAATCGAGAGTTCTTTTTGATGCAAATTTATAACTTTTGCTAGTTGTGCACGTGCATATGAAACTTGAAAACAATGCCAGTGAATAATGAGGGCGCTCACTTGTAAACACAAGATCTGGGGGGAATATTGGTTATATTTGAGGCCCTATTTAAAAGCCTTCCCTATTTTCAATGTTCTTGAAACTTGCAGGGAATATTTCTTGACAATTGATCTCGGGATTGTCGAATTTATAAAAAAATTTATCGAGCGGTTTTTGGAAAAATGCGAAATTTTTAGGCATGGACCAAATTACGTCCAAAAACTGTATCAAAAGCAGCTGAATGCAAGTTAATAAAATTCTTCTTACTCGCGATCGCCCAGAGCAATTCCCCTCTTTTTTCGTATGCAGTTTTCAATGGAATCAAACCACTACGAGATGAAGCCTCGTTTCCAAAGCTTATCATTTTCTTAAAATATTAGCGAATTGTGTAGGTAGCATGCTATTTCACTGTTTTTATTATTCTTAAAACTACATTTCAAAATATTTCGAAAACGCTCTCATAGAATTTGTTCAAACTACGCCATAATGGAGGCAATTATAGCAGGTACATACTCCCTAAAGCGATTTCTTCAAAAAACTCCTGGAACAGAGAAACACAAAGATAAATGAAAAACGTAATGGCGTCATTACGTTGCCATGGCGACTCCGATTGCAATAAAACCCAGATCATAAGAAATTTTCATCTTTATATAATACAGTTGTGGTAACCTTTTTTCCATATCTTTACTCATCCCGACGTAGTTAATGCTCAAAGTTGGGAGGTATCAACCCCAAAAAATCCAGTCGAGCCACCTTAAAACTGAACCAATTTTCTTAAAGTATAATTCGCCTGAAAGAGCCATGATCGTAGCATTTTGCTTGAAATTGATATTTGACTCCTCTCATTTAGCTTAGCTTTTTATGTGGCCAGTTCTCGAGAATACAATAATAAAATGCACTAAACAAATAAAATATCATGCTAAAAAAGGACAATTTGAGATACAAGTAAATAGCCTAGTTCATCTGGCATCTTGAAAAGACCAGAACATAACCAAGTACAGATACAGTGTATCTGTAAAAAAGGTGTGACATGAGAAAAATACTTTAAAATCAGATTTCCGATGCAGCACTGTAACCTAATATTTCCGGATCATATGAAACATAAACACGTTTTGTCCAGTTCATGTCCGTCGTTCACTCTAGTCTAGTGTTGAATTAACCATCTGAGTCACAACGCATTTCAAAAGTTACCTTCTAGTTCTAAGTTGATTTATACAGTTCATAATGGTAGGTCTTATACAACCCAATATAAATAGCAAACATTTGCGAATAATCTGTACCTATTGTGAAGGTTGACAACATACATCCGTAAGAATTTGTTGTCATTCTGGTAAACGTCCTCAACCTACAAAACAATGTTTTAACTTGATTTTAATTCAGTCACTTGAAGGCATTACGTATTCATTGTGTCTACGCCTGGGGTTTACTGAAGATATTATGGTTAAAAATCTCCCTAATGCATTCATATCTAACTGAAGTGATAGAAAAAATCTCTAGAAGTGTGATAGTTTGCTGTAGAGTTTGTCTAATCAAACCAGCGCAATATCGTCGCTATAATGGAGTTAAATTCTCTTGAGCGTTGACTCAAATGGGTGTATTGTTGGAATGAGGATTGTATGCTTCGTTGTGGTGGCTATCAAGCGATCGACTGCGAGGAGCTTGGGTTTGTTTCTGCTTTGTTGTGGAGCTTCAAGGGTGATAGAATTTGGTCATCTTTACATCCACGAAATTTTTACAATAACTAAGCGGCCTGCGCGCGCTAATTGGTTGAGCGCTATTACCGATAAGAGTGCAGACCATAGTTGTTGATTTGTTAATTGGTTGTGACAAAATCGTCCGTCTGGCCATACGCCCATCCATTCAAGTTAAGGGATATGAAAAATATACAATCCGTGTTTAACTTGATATTGGACATTCGTGTTATGGTCAATTGACAACTGTTAAAATAGGGTATCCGCTGAGCAGTGTAAGTCACATGACTGTATCGCGGGCTCAGGTCAGTCTGGAGTACAACTCGTCTACGTGCGTGTATTTTTAAGTTTTCCGCTGGCCAGTTATTGGTTCTTAATTGGTCGCAGGCTCTGGTCCATTTTTTCAGGATTAATAGAACAATTGCACGATGACGATATTTGACTACAACTACCAGAATTCATTTCGGTTGTGCTTTGTTATTTAAATTTGTCAATCCCGCTGAGGATTAAAAAACAATAGCCTTAATTTGCACAAGAAAACAACAAACTCAAGGATTCTGGTAGTTGTATTAAAATGACGTCATCGTGCAATTGTCCTATTCAGATTGCTTTTTGCTTATGATGAAATTTAAGGTGGCTCTGTCATTGATACAGGCGCATTTAGCTATGAGGAAGTTTTCACCATAACTTTTTCGGCGTTTTTAAGACGATGTCCGCAAAAATTTGCAAAGAACAACAGATTTCGTTTGGCAATGATATGAAATATTCCGATTTAATTAGGCTTTCATTGATGGTAAATATTTTTGCGAAATTAGCGCCTAAAAGCACCCTACTTTTCAAAGAAAATCGCGTCTAGTAAATGTCAGAGAAATTTCACAAAAATCGTTAGAGCAGAAGTCCGTAACTAAAAGTCGCTCAAATTTCACATGTGAAATTGTTTTAGTTATGAAATTGTCCTGGAATTTCAAAAATAAATTGCTATGAGGTAGAAGGGGCCACTAGTTCCGATTTTCGGGACAAGTAATTTCTGTGTTTGCCAATTCTTAAAAGAAAAGCCGATTGCGAATAGTGCCATTCTTTGAAAGGTAATTTTTGGTGCAAGAAGCACTATAAATTGTTCCAAACCTTGCTTTGAAGTCGAATGACTTGTTTCTCGACATTTTTGAAATATGCCTTATCAGTTTTGGCTGAAACTCCTGCCACATACACTTTGATGTATTGCAATGCATCTTCAAAAGCTTTGTCTTGAATCAGAGCTCAGTTAGAACTTTGGAGAACCTTTGAAAGGTTCATTGTTAAGGGTGTTTTGTTTTCTTTGTTTTATGTCAGTTGTGAGTAATATTTTTTGTTATATTCCTAGACTAAACAGGGACTGCCATTGGTTGATTCTTGGTCACGTGGCCTTGACTAAAATCAAATGTATGCCGATCGTGATACATTAAGAAATGTACCCCGCTCGGGATACATTACAGAACGTGATCAAAGCATGGTGGAAAGTGGTGTGACGGAAGGCGGGAAAAACACTGCCAGTTTTCTTTTTCGTGAATGAACACAACAACTTGAACACAAAGACGAGGCCTCAAGCTAAAAAAGCAACGATTTTTAAAGGCATCCCAGAAGAGAAACAGCAGCTAGTGGAGGAAAAAGATGCAGATAATATAAGGAAAGTACTTTGTAAATCATTCATGCAGTGGTTTTAAGAATTAAATATGTGTTGTTATAAGTACCGAGTCGACTGTTTTGGTTCGCTCCGGTTATTCTTTTGTTGTATGTTGAAGTGGAAGTCTAGAAATATAACAAAACACTTAATGTCAGGTCCCTTGGGAAACCAGTTAGTTTTGTTTTCCCGAGAGTCCTGATGCCAATTCGGAGATAAGCCGAATAAGCAAACACCGAAATTACCTGTCCCGAACATTCAAACTGCTGGCTCGTTATACCTCGTAGCAATTTGTTTTTGAAATTCAAAAACAATTTCACATCTTAAATTTGAGCGACTTTAAGTTACGGACTTCTGCTCTAACGATTTCTCTGAAATTTCTCTGGCGTATTTATTACATCAATGAAAGATGATGCCAGAAATTTCATTCAAAAATATCAGCAAAATGTTTTACTAGACGCGATTTTCTTTGAACTATAGGATCCTTTTAAGCGCTAATTTACCATTAATGAAATCGGAATATTTCACATTATTATATGGCTTGGTCAATTTGTGGTCCGACTAACTTGCTATACGGACCAAAATTTCAAAGAAAATGCTCATTTCGGAGCTCTAAATCTCTTTACCTCAGAAAAAAAGGTTGAAATTAAGTTACAAGACGTCTATCATCCGTGAGGACTTAGATTTTGACTTTGTCCTTCAACATTTTAAACTGTGTTTATTTGTGAACGAAGGCGATGAAGAAACTAACTCGTAATCTTATCAAAGAGGATTCTAGTCAGTGTCTGAAAATTTTATCGTAATACACAGTTAAGAAGACGAAAATCGACTAGCAGAGATTCGAGATATTTTGCCTAAGGGAAAATGAGTAAATATGATAACAAACATGCCTGCACCCGATCATGTTGACGCGCTTTTTTGTCATTTGCAGTGTTTTTCGAAAGACCAACGAAAGAAAGATAGAAGCGACTCCGAGCCAGACACAATGTCCAGTTTTCAAAAGACTCCAGCGTCACATTGGCGAGTGAATACTTACAATGCTCTTAGTTTTGACCGAATATACTTAAAAATGTGTCTGTAAACCCTGAGGACTGGGATGTTGATTTTGCCTTTCCAGATTTTAACCTAGCTTTGTTTGAACGAGAACGAAGCTGATGTAGAAACTGAATCGTAACCTTTCCGTGGAAGAAAATATGGTCCGTGTTTGAAAATTTTAACGCAGATCACGCTTGAAGACGAGAATGAACTGGCAGAAATTCGAGAGGTTTTCCCAAAAAAAAATTAACGAGCGAATCTTCGACAATGACAACAAATTTACCTTGAAAAGCTTCTTTGCCTTTTGCAGTGTTTTTTACAAGGACCAACGGAGGAAAGATGAAAACGACCTCAAGAAAGACACAGTGCCCGGTTTCCAAAATACTCCAGCGTTACATTGAAGAGCTAAAACTTACAGCGCTCTTAGTTTTGACCAAATAAACTTTTTCAACATGGCGAATTTCCTTTCACTTTCTCGGAAACCCTTTGTTGTGTGCTATTGTTTTCGTGAGCCAATAAAAACTTTCTTTCTTGACGCGTGTCGATGTTGTTTCCGGTCCCCAAAACTGGAAGAAGCCATACACCTTATCAGCCTCGTTTTTTTCGGTCCGTACATCGATTTATGGCCCGCGCGCTTCGCGCTTGGGCCATAAATCGATGGAAAAAAACTCGGTCCGTAATTTACAGTACGGACCGAAACCTCGGCTAATAAGAGTTATTTATTGCCGAACGGTATCTGTTGTTCTTTGCAACGTTTCGGAGCTATCGCGTTACAAACAAAAAAGTTATGACGGAAAGTTAATCATACCTTAATGCTCCTGTATTAATGACAGAGGCACCTTAAAGAACGTCAGAAAGAAATTTCTTAAAAGATCCTACGAGAGCCCCGCCTTTGGCCTTGGCTAATTCTATGTATTAAAAACTGGAACAATTTTTGAATAAATAAAGCTTACCCCTTGTTCAATTTCCGCGGCGAGGTCCAGGAATTGTGAGCTGTTGGACATTCGGTATTCCTCGCGCCATTGACTTGAGCGAAGCTTCAGGTCAACCATATAAACCTGGTTCAGCTCTGAAAAAGGAAAGATCAACTTTAAAAAATGGTTTTTGTATCCGTTATGACGATAGTAGGTACAAATTAAAATATACAGCTATTTCGAGAAAGGTTGTCGGAAAAAATGTGCAGGCGACAACCCTAAAAAGTAATATGAGATATGCTTAACCCACTGTTCCTGACACTGTAGCTGTAGAAACTACTTTTGTTGCTTTCCTTTACCACTCGCAGACATATGTCCATGGCCTCTCCTGCTATTCTTTAAAATTTCTTTGAAAAACAGTGAACTCAAAACCACCCTCAGTACCTTTCGGGGTTGTCGCGCGCACTTTATCCCACAACCTTCCTCGAAATAGCTGTATGAAATGAATCATATTTTGAACTTCGAAGATCATGTTCGCTTTCATAACAGTAGGTACCTTTCATGTCAAACTAGTAACATCATTTTACAAACTTTTATTGAACAACTTAACACAGAAACCGTTTAGTATTTGGGCTAAATAACGTTGTCTTTTAACTCTAAAAGATCAAACTGATTCTCAAAAACAATTCGTTCATGCCCAAATTGAGCACTAAGTACACAACAAAATCAAGGCAACAAGGTGAAATATTCATTTAAGCCTTCTCTCTCCGTGGATGGTGATGATATATCCCCTTATGCGCCATAGCCACAGAAAGCGTAGAAGTCCATAGATTTCGACGAAATTTCTTTTCAAAGTTTACATCGTATGTAATGAAGTAAACTAAAACACTCAACTTTTTTTCAAAATTAGGAAGTAGGAAAAGTACTTTTAATTTAGCTGAAGAGATATTACAAAACAAGATTTATATATAGATGGACTAAATAACAGTGAAGACACTACTATACAGTAAATAGAATTCAAACTAACATAAAACAAGGCAAGTACATAACGATTACGAAGAGAAGCTAACCTAAAGTATTAAAAAACTTAATAAGACGTTAATGTTGAAACTTTAGATTTGAGATCGTTATTTTCTCTTCTTAGGTTGGCAATAGACTCAGGCATAATATGACACGCGAAACAAATAGAAGAAAGCAGACGGAACACTTAAACATAAATACCTCAAAGGATTGTTATAAAACATTTTGATTGTTATAAAAGAATTGGAATCAACAACTAACTAACCAAGGCAGTATGTTCCATTCCCTTTTGAGCCCAGAGCGCATGTGCAGAGAAAAGAAGGTATCTTATTGGTGCAGATACCATACATTTCATGACAGCTGTGTGTATTCTCATTACACTCGTCTATATCTGGAAAATAAATTGAAATGTCAAATTGATGCGATAGTGATATAAAAAAGCGAAACGAGAAACGTTTTACAGTGTACTTTTCATCATCTGAGAAAGTCCTAAAATTCAACTGACAATAAATGAAGAAGATGTGTTGTCGTTGATGGATTCTTACCGAGGCAATCTGTTCCATTGTAGAGGAAACCTGGCAAACAAGAGCAATTGTAGCTGCCGTGTTCGTTGATACACACTGAGACTCCTTTACAGTCATTTGAGCCAACTAAGCATTCGTCCACATCTACAAACATAATTTGCATGAATGATCGATTCATGGTACTGGGCTGGGAGGCACCATGTTAGTGTTCAAAGATAATACAAGGATTACAAGTGCCTAGTGCAATACAAGTACTTAGTTTGGTTGGAACACCAACACCCGTAATGAATTTACATCATGATTGCTAGCTGATTTGTAGCTGCGATACTATTTGGATCGTTATTCGTGAATGCTTGAAACAAGGCCTCTCAAAAGTACAATCAGTTAAAAAGTGAATTCAAATATATGAAAAGTCGTGTGTTTCAAATGAAAACACCTACTCCACAATTTTAAAATCAGTTCATAAATTACCTGTACAAAAGCTTCCATTGCCACTAAAACCATGAACACAGTTGCAGTTGAAAGAACCATTTGTGTTAGAACACGTGGCATCGGGGTGACAGTTATGGGTTCCAATGAGACATTCGTTTATATCTAAAATACAATAAACCAATAAGCCAATAAGACCCAGCTTTACCAGAACTTTGTTGCAAAAGTAAGTCGCAAAAGCAAAAGTCAATTACGAGAAAAACGTTTTTAGAAAAGAGCACGACATAACAGTACAAAAGATTAACTTTGAGAGATTGGATACTCAAAGAATTGTTAAATATATAGGACACAGCGAACCACTGGGCTCTCACTGAACGTCAATCAGTCAGCTGCATTTCTGTCAAATCCAAATTCCAGTGCGTATTGGGGAAGCTGAACAATCTAATTTATCTCAGTTATCATTACCTTGTGTAACCGCTTTTTTTTTCGCGCGTGGCGGGACGCTTCCAGAGTCGGTCGGAGATCAACACCACTTTTGCCTAGCTCGAAGGTCGAGGCAACGTGCGCTATAAAGACTTGACTTGCCCTCTGTGTACACATTAAACAACCACTTACCAAAGCAAGTAAAACCATCCCCAGAGAATCCCGCGGAGCATTTGCAGTAAAACGATCCTTTAGTGTTAAAGCAGGACGCTCCCCAACTGCAGTTGTGCGTGTCAGTTTCACATTCATCAATGTCTTAGAAAAATCACAATTACATTTTTTTTTAAGTGATACTAATTAGAGACTCAGCGTCAAAATGCGTCCTTTTTGGGATTAACAGCTTTACACTAAAAAACTTCAGTCAAAACCTGCCTAATCAGTGTAGGCATAGAAAAGAGAAAGGTGGAAGTGGGAATTTTCAGCGCGCGAGAGCGAATGGCGCGCCTGATTCCTCCCCTCCCTTTCGAAAACCTGCCACGGAGGCTATTACCCAATAGCAGGGAACTTGCCTTGTTGTGGATGTGGCTTCAAACGTCTTAACACAACTGGTTACTCCAATAGTGATGCTCTTGTTTTAGGCTTTTTCATCTGCGGCAAAAACTCGCCTGGAGATGCGTCTGACCTTCTAACATGGCACCAGTCATTCAACGTGATCATTCCCACGTCCGTTTCCTTTAGGATGGATTCCCATTGTCGCGTACTTTTTACGTGCGTGTACACACATGCAAATTTTACTCGCGTAAATAAAATAGAGGCAAGATATAGAGTGTTGAGCTTAAACGTGAAGTGGAGCGAGATTCAATTTTTACGTTTTCGAGCGACCTTTCATGCATTGCCTCTACTTTATTTGGAAATCCACCCTTAGGCTGCGCATTATGTTTTTTATTGTTAATCTGTGGTGTATACAAATCTCTTGTAGCGGATTTAACGTACTCGCAGATGAAGGGCCTTGCCCAAAACGTTTTGAAACCTCAATAACATGGCACGTTTTGTTCATGTTTTGTTTTTCGCTAAATACACATTTCCTTCAGTACTAATTATTAATATGCCACGCAGCTCACTGGTATTTTCCTATTCACTATTATATTTTACCTTATAGTTACGTGAGAAACATAGGTTATCAATAATAATATAATAAAATCCTTAGAATTACAATACGTAGTTTGGGGTGTATTGATTAAATGCTACTCTTACCTATGCAAGAGACTCCATCACCAGCGTAACCAATCAAACACGTGCAATTGAAGGAGCCATTAATATTAGTACAAGTCGCATCTGCATGGCAATTGTCTAGGTCATATTTGCATTCATCCGTATCTAAAAGCAAGATATCGAGAGGCCAATTAAAAAACTACCAGCCTTAATTCTCTATTAGTCACTTGGCTACCGTTAGATAACGTTTTTTCCTTCAGAATAACAAAGCTCAGTAGTTACTTTAAGCTTACCTACACACTTATAGCCAGTTCCGTGAAAGCCTCGATTACAGGCACAAGTGAATGATCTTTTGGTATTGGTGCAAGTGGCATGTACATGACAACTATGAGTTTCCATGCTGCACTCATCCATGTCTATAGAATAATATTTGAAAGCTATGTAGTTATTAAACGTCCAGCTTCTTGCGTAACAGCCTTTCCTGCAATTTATTTGGCTAAACTAACTTGACTTGAATAAACAAGGAAGTCCTGACTCTTCTTCCGAACATGTTCTTACGTAATCAACTAATCCAAAACAAATTTTCGTAGTCCCCAAACAAACGACTGAAAGAATGCCTGCTCAAATCGGACTCTGTTGCCTAAGTTACAGTAGGTGAACGTGTCGTTAGTATTGGTGGGATTCACCGGCGAAAAATGTCTGCGCATGCTCTACTAAAAATGACACGTGATCTATTTCGGGCAATGTCATTGGCTCTGAGGCAAAAATGCCCGGGAAATGTTGTTGAGATGAAAGAAGCGATGGCAGCTTTTTTTGGCAGTGACAGCGTTGCAGTTTCTTGCCACTGTAAGAGATCAAAAATTATTTTGGTCAAAGTTTTGACGTAAGTGTGTTCTCTAGGGAATATAGCGTCCTGAAACTGGCGAAAAATCGCATTAGCACGGTCTTATTCAGTGTTACTGACGTTGAGGTCGCTGGTTTGCATGTAGAAGACATGCCGAAAAGGTGGGTAATTTTTGCTCTTTTTGTTTACTGCATGTTCCGTGCAACTCGGTACAAAAGGAAATTATAAAGCAGTGGAAGAAAAATTATTGGGCTTTGTTTTGGTATATAAATTAGCTTGCACCGAGTTGCACGGAAGCGACAGTTTTGTGAAATGTGTATCCCGTTTTTGTGTCAAAATTCGACTTTGATAACATTCGACTGTTGATCGAAGAGTGTATTACAATGCTATCCAAAATTTTTTTGTTGTTTTGATCAAGTTTCTTATCACGGATTCAACAACAAAAAAATAGAGGGACAGACATTGTGGGCTTTGTTTTGTTAATATGTCTTAGCGTGTACTTTGTTGCTGGAAAAACTATATTTAGATGCCTAATCTCCGCATGTTTACACTGTTTATGGCAGAAAAATACGCTTACGCTTGGTTCAACTTAATCTCGTGTCACTCGGTACAAAAGGAGATTATAAAGAAGGTAGAGAAATATTCTTAGCGGTTGTCTTGCTGTGTAATTATAAATTGTCTTGTGGCGAGTGGATCGAAAGCGGCCGGGTTGCGTTAGTTTTCTAAAGTGCGTAGTTCGAAACGTGATTTTCTCGATCGATGCAAATTTCATTGTTGTTGCACCTTATTACAGCTTTGTATGTTACCATATAGAAATTTGAGTTTTATGCGAACTGTCGAATGAGAAAATGTGAGAGTGTTTTCATTAAATACTTAGACCGTCTTGGAGCTACAGTTCGATAGGTCCAGCAACAATCTGATTTGTGAAAAAAAATTCTCTTTACAATGTGCACAGCTGCTGTACATTTAGGCTTGCAATTTCATAATTGAAAGATCGTATTTTGCTCATCAATTTGGCTTGGGAGTATCCACACAACGATCGAGTTACTTCGTTAGGAACCGTACTTACGGACATGTTTTCTTCCGTGTACAATTTTTTAGTACTAAATTTTGCACACAAGGTTTTCTGTGGGGGGTGCTCATTCTTTGCTTGAAAACTGGATCCTGGAAGGAGATGAACAGGGTAATATTCCTGTGAATGCTTTTGTTTTTCTGTCCATCGTTTTCGGCTTAATTTTTTGTGGAGCAAAGTTATGAATGAATGATAGAGTTAACATGCTATTAAGTATTCAAAAGTTCTTTCCCAGACAAAAAAAAAATAATCGTTTAAAGTTTGGAGTAAACTTTGAGTCTTAATGAAATTTTAGTTGGATCATGTTGATGAATGCAGTTGTTTAGGATATGCAGTTTCCAATTTTGATCTTCTGTCAGAATTATAAGAGAACACTCAAATACAGATCTCATTCATTATAGATATATATTAACATAGTTTCATTGCAATTATCGTTTGTTTCTTTTCCTCTAAACTTCTCATCAGCTCTACATTTTGCATGAATTTAATGTGATATATATTTGAAGGGGTTGTTGTTTCACAGTGAAGTATTTTTCACTTTGTTTTTTTGATATGAAATTGAGTTTCTTCTTAGTTGTTGGCTAAGGCAGTGTTGAAGTAGTGACATGTTAACATACTTTATTGTTCATTTCTCTTCAGAAAAGGTTGATTGATCCTGAATCAAACAAAGATGATTGATCCTGAATCAAACAAAGTGATATGAAGTTGAGTTTCTTCTTAGTTGTTGGCTAAGGCAGTGTTGAAGTAGTGACATGTTAACATACTTTATTGTTCATTTCTCTTCAGAAAAGGTTGATTGATCCTGAATCAAACAAAGTGAAGCTTCACAAAAAAGATTTTTTGACGAACAAATGTGTACTCAAGCAAAGTATATGTCCCTGACAGTGTCAATAAAATTTATTAATGGAAAGATCTGGGTTTCTACTCCTTTGTAGCACTTTTAACTACGCATCACTTTTCTAACCTATATAGTAAAAAGATCATATAGTATAATCAGTATTTTTTACAACTAACATATTTGCAATCAAAGTTCTCTTCTTTTATATATAGTATTCCTCTAATTTTAAAAATTTCATTATCTTATTCAGATCAAGCACAGTAACCATTGAAAAGAAAAAAGAAAAAAAAACCTGCTCGGTCGTAGACGGCTTTAAAGTTTTGATATTAAAATTGCAATGAAAAGAATATGAATGCAGACACTACAGTTCATTTAGCTCATGTTCAAGCTTTTTCCATAAATTAGAATTAAAGTCTTGCTGGAGAAAACATAATTTTGCTTTATCTTTTCGGTAAAAAAAAAAAATAATAATAATTTCCAGGTGTCTAAGCAATTTCAAAGGACCCATAGTGTCTTATTTCTCCGCACAAAAAACAAAGGCCGTTCTTTCTAGTGACCCGGCTTTCATCAAAAATATTGGTGACCTTCGTGATCGTGAAGAGTCCGAAGTTGAATCCGGTAAACCGGCCAAAACGCGAGCATCGCAGGGAACGAATCCCAAACGAATAGGTGAAAAAGGATAATAAAAAGTCTAGGCTATTCTAAAAATATCCGTATATGGATTTGCAACTCATATGAAGCCGCAATTAATCTTCTTTCTACTGGAATAAACAAACTATGGAGGTACTGCCGCCATTTTGAATTGGGCAATGTCACGTGGTCGCGCGTCGACCAATCAGACGTTTTTCGCCGGTGAAATTGGTGGGATGATTTTTAAAACTTTCTGCAAATGGACTTTGATTCAGATGGTTAATTTATTTACAAAGTCACGTTACTTTTGGGCTGGTGAGAAACAGGACAACAAAGGTTAAAGAATAAACAAATACATGAATTACACAAACAACCGACAAACAAGCGTTTTTTTGAGAGTCTATTCAATTTATTGCCGTTCGTGAGTTCCCTCATACTTTGTCAAACGTTCGCTGTCAGAGATATTATGGTCTAAAGAGAACTTCGAGCGGGAAAACGTTTGTTGGTATCCCTCTGCGTAGCCTAAGCCCCGGCGAGCAGTAACACAATGTGATCGTATAAGAAATATTAATAATATACATGAAAGAAACAACTTTGCACGTGCAGCACACATTCTTATATATTTCCTTGTCTTTGTTTTGCACGACTAAAACGTGGAACTTCTTTTAACTTCCTATTTACACGTTTTATGGAGGAAATGTTTGTGTTCTTGTTCACTCACAGTTTTTTCACTGCCGATCACTTCACTTTGGTAGCCGCTAGCATTTCTCCTTTTCTAATCGCCGCTATATAATTTTCATGTTTTTCTTCCAACGAAATTCGCCGAAATTTCTCGCTCTAGCTCCTTCCCTGTTATCTAATTTTTTTGTTTTTTTTTTCCTCCCCAAAAGTCCGAGCGGCCATGTGATTTACCGTCGAAACAAGCAAGTTGCTTGAAATGCAAAATTTCACCTCAGCTATAACATACTCCTTCCCCCGACGAATGACGTCTGACTCCCTTCCCCCGTCTCCAGGGTCTGTACGGACGGGAGGTCGTATGCTGACGTCATAACTAAATTTTCTCGGATGGATAGATCACCAAATTTTCAGAAAAAAGCAAGCCTCAAAATAAATAAATAAATAAGAAAAGAAATAGTTAATTATGGTCGCCGTACCTGAACAGTTGACTCCATTCCCTGAATAACCGTTATGACACGTACAGTAAAACGAGCCATTTGTGTTGTTACAAATAGCATCAGTATGACAATTATGTATATTGTCTACACATTCATTGATATCTGCGTTAAAAATTAATAAGAGTAAAGAAAAGTTGGAACCTAAAGCGAAAATGCAGATGTGGGTAACACTTCATCTTCAAATGGCGCGTAAACGTAAAATCAAGTAAATAATGCCTTCCACAACCGGCACCACTTTAAATGCAGGATGTCATACCAAGATGTTACTACTACTTAAAAATTCTTTTACAGAAGCCTGGTCTCAATAAAACTTACTAATGCCATGTAAACCGTTTATAAGTGTTTCGACAAAGAACCGGTAAGGAAAAAAGTGATCTTAAACTGTAAAATGCCAAGTCTGCATTTCAAATTTGACAGTGTTACTTAGGAGGATGGCTCAAGACGCCGATTGAATATAATTTGCTCACACCTTTGAAAATGTCTTTCTCTTGTTGTTCAAAAGCTATTTCGTCAACTAGTGAGCATACCTCGTTACTCAAGGGTAGTTTACGTTAGTAGAGATTTCTCCTGATGCTCTCCTCTTTAGGCTTTAGTAAGTCGGTCAACCCCAAGTTGAACAAACAAAATAATCCATTGTTTTCTTAACTTGTCGTTTCCATGGTTAATTAACGCATTACTAATACTATCGTAAATTTACCTTGACATGTAACTCCATCCCCCTTAAATCCACTATTGCACGTGCAGGAGAAGGATCCCTTGGTGTTGGTACAGTTGGCATCGGCGTTACAATTGTCGGTATTTATTTGACATTCGTCGATATCTTTTCGGAAACAATGAAGAAAAAAGGTGCAGATCTCACAGAAGCTGGTTTCAGTTCATAAGATTGTGAATTACCAGACTGTGTTTGCAGTCACGAGACCAGGACAAACGTAGACAGGTTGCGTTCCTTTTGACCAATCTAGATCCGGATTTCGCGATCCGAAATTTGACTTTTCGTTCCATTAAGGACTAAACCAATCTAAGATTACAATCTGTCCACCCAACCCCGCGCTTGGATCGTTCAGGTTGGTATCTCAATCTGGTTTCAGATTTTTGTTCCATTTAATTAACGAAACTGCTTTTCGATCGCAAGAACGTGCTCGTTCGTCCATAAACACGGCGGGTCAAGGTCAGTTCAGGCAAAAGTCATTGATACGCCTCCGTGTATCTATGCCTCTAAAGGATTGTAGTATATTTAACGCAAGTTCCACTGTAACACTAAATCTGTAAATTAGCGAAAACGCTTGGATTTTCTCACCGTAAAACGTCCAATGCGTGTGTGTTTAGGGCGCGCTTCTCAGCACTTAAAGGCCGATACACACGAGGGGTTTTGCTCCCGAAGCATTTTCCAGGGTCATTTTTGCACGTGTCAGTACACACGAGGGAGCGTTTTCAAGTTCGCTCAATTTGCCCCGGGAGCTTGCTCACAAATATTTAACCGGTTAAATATCGTGGAGCATTTTGCGGGGTGGAAATTCTGCTCCCGAGGATGAAGTATACCCATGAAATCATTGGTAGACACGGAGGAGCTCAAGCTCCCGGAGTATGCCCCTGGAGCATGCTCCGGGAGCAAAATCCCTCGTGTGTATCGGGCTTAAGAATTCGTGATTGTTTTCTGAATTTGTTTGAATCAAATTCCAGATAATTTCAAGTTGATGACTCCCGGTATAAACCACCGCTAGTTAAAGAGCTACTTTTCCTTCTATTTCTCCACGAGAAAAAGCTTAATTTAGAGGAAAGAAATAAAGAACGATGCGCTGAAATTGAGATGAAGATCAGAGTAGTAGGCAGCTACTGTATGGATCAACCTTATTTCAGATTTTTGTTCCGGCTAACACAAAAATCCAAACAATCTGGATTGTCTAAATCCGAGAAAAATCTGGTTAAAAGGAACGCAACCACTCATAGACCAGTCATAGATTCTCTTGATCTAATCACTTGATTATCTAAAAATTGAATTCTCCATTAATAGAAGAGATAAAATTCACGTATACATTCCTACAAGCGTAATAGAAGTAATCTTACATGTGAATCTATGCCAAAACAGTTTTCAAGTTGAATTTGTTATTAAACAGTCTTAAGAAATTTTATCCATGTAAAACAATTAAATAGTTTTAAATCTGACAGAATACCAAGTTGTAGTCTAAACAATGCTCCGCTCTCTTCCTGGAATGCAGAAATGAATATAATATCTAAAATAACTAACAGTTCAGTTTTCTTATTTATTAAAAATTCGTTAATGGAATCTATGGGCCTGCGCTTGACCTGGTTTGACATGGGTTCTAATGAACATGCAAAAATGGTATAACTTACCTAAGCACGTGACTCCGTCTCCAGTGTAGCCGACATGACACATACAGTAAAACGATCCCTTGGTGTTTGTGCAGTTAGCGTCATTATGACAATCGTGTGCGTAATGCCGATGCACGACAGTTAGACCTATCGATGAGCACTCGTCGATGTCTGGCAAGTTAAACAGGAAAGCTTTTGTTAAAATCATTTATTATTATATACATACTGAAAAATACTCACCAAAAAGCTATGTCGTAAATTTTTGTACGCAAATTAGTTCTAGCCAATCAGAGGAGCGAACGATGGTTTTCACACGTGAAAAAAATGATACGTCCAATCAGAATCGCGAACGATGTTTTTTCACGTGTGAGAAAAATGATACGTCCAATCAGAGGCCACAGAGGTGTGTGAGTTTCGCGCCAAAATTCCCGCCTCTTATTGCAGTTTGCAGCGCCGCTTCGCACACATTCAACGAGAAAAATTTTACTCAAAGAGTTTTTCTCGCTAAAAAAGTGAAAAACATTTCGGAAATGGAGTGGAATAGTTTCGTTTGTTTCACTGTCGATAAAGAAAACGGTAGAGAGCCGGCGAAACAACAGCGGAAAGGGAAAAACAGAACGAGACGTAAGCTTTTGTTGTGCTTTTTTTCGGAGCTACTTTGCCTTTCATTTAAGCTTAAGCTTATATTGAAACCGGCCATTTTACTTAAATTTACTCATTTTCAATTGTGCATTGACAACAAACAGTTAAGATTACTTATAGTTCTTGGATTACCTCATATCCTTACCGTCATTTATGTTTTTAACAAACGTTTGTACTAAAAAGCTGATACTTCGTTTTCTTTGTCATTTTGCGGCAAGTGTGTAGCGGCAAATAAGCATTTTTGAAAGATTTAAAATAAAAAGGCCGCCAAAATGATGAATGTCTCGGTATGTATATAATAAACACAATACCACATGGAAAGTGCTTTGTACGATATTTACGCACTCGTTTTTGTATCAGAAATCTTACTCGTTCGCTGCGCTCACTCGTTCGATTTCTGATACGTCAACAACTCGTGCGTAAATACCGTACGCCAGCACTTTCCATGAAGTATTCTCTATTTATATAAACACCAATGAAATACCGGGTAAGCTTTCGCGCGAAAACTTGATATCTTCACATGTGAAAATAACATGTTATCTTCACATGTGAAAATATCACCGTTGCTATGGCTACATAATAAATCGCGCCTTTCACACCGAAGAACTATGAAAGTCAAATGGTTTGGTATTTCATTGGTCTTTATATAATAAATAGAACATTACATGACCGCTTGGAGATACGAAATTTATCTTCGCGTGTTGAAAAAATATTTCACGCGTTCGCTGCGCTCACTCGTGAAATATTTTTTGACAGTCGAAGAGAAATTTTGTATCTCCGCGCTGCCATGTAATATCTTCTATTTATTATACAGATACTGATGAAATACAAGGATTTTTCCTTGTACTAAAAAATCATATCTTCATCCCGCGCAGTGAAGATACTATTTTTGTCTTTCACGTGTGAGGATATTGGTGTCGCCGTGGTTACTACATGATTTGCCTTATTTATAAGTCGCTACTGAGAAAAAGAATCTCTACACCCATTAAAAGCCAAGAGAAGTGGCTCAGTGACCTTCAAGTCGAAAATGCAAGTGATATTGATTGGAAAGATGTATACACAATCGCTTTCCACTGTACGGCTTCTACAAAATTAAGAACATCGGAGGATTGCTACCAATGATTTTTTAAAGAAAATTAATTTGAAGCAATCGGACAAATGCTCTTTTTGCCAAAGGGAAGTAGAGTCTATATCTCATCTATTTCGGCGATGTTCGGCAACAATTGCTTTTTGGAACGATGTTAAACAATTTTTGATTCAAAAGGGCCTCAAGAGTACTGCACTAACCGATTTGCATCTGACGGGACTCTCTAAATTTGCACCCTCTACCGCCATTGATCTGCTCTCGTTCTGGGAGACAACATATATACTAGAGCAAACTTGCAGGTAAGTCTCCCTCCATGACTCTTTTTAAGGGCAAACTAAATTCCGTCATTGAGATGGAAAAACAAGAAGCACTCCGCTGTAATTCTTTCACCGTCTTTTCAAACAAATGGAATTTTTTTCTTATTTAAATTTGTTGCTTGCACTTGTTACCCTCTAGCTAATCGCTTTGACTTAGCCATGTGTCCTGCAGAGTTGAGCCATCCACCGTCCACCGTTCGCCGTCCTTTCCTTTTATTGTAAGTAGCTAAGCGAATTCAAGCATAAATGTAACCTCAGCTATTTTTATGTTTGTTTCGTCAAGTTGTAATATGTATACGTTTTGTGTGATGTAAATTTAGCTTAAATAATAAATTAAAAAAAAAAAACATGATTTGCCAATTACAAGAGAGCTTCCCGCTCAGGGGGGGGGGGGAGGGGGGCGGTTCTTTTGAAATTTCATTCACAAAATGGCTTCGGGGTGCAAAGACGGTACAGTAACCGGTGACTTTCTCGATGAGTTGCCAAATTTTCACATCGATACTTTTTCCGAGCTTGAAGAACATTCAGAAAGATTTGCCGAAAAAAAAGTTGTGTTTTATGTAGGAATTTCATCAGTATCTATAAGATAAACAGAACATTATATGGCCGCTTGGGGAGACGAATTTTATCTTTTCGTGCCGAAAGTATCTTTCAGTACTCGAAGATAAAATTCGTATCCCCGCGCGGCCATGTAATATTCTCTATATCATTAATTAGTATATACACACTCAGTGATCTTGGTGATTCAAGCAATCTGATTGGTTCGCTATCTCGGACTATTCAACAATATTCACCTCCTAGCGAGTGGATAATGTGTGAGCTCGGTGTTTTTCCCATCTTTTTAGAGAACGATCTTTTAAAAGTCGACAAAATCCTAGGGCTGACTTCTTTTAAGGCAAGAAAATACTTGGAAGGGTTCAATACGGCGTTTTTCAATTTACTGTAGCTGAGTTTTGTGCTCGATGGATTGTTTACAACTCCCGTGTATTCGCGTAGAAGAAGCCGTTTCGTGAACTCAGCATTTTCTAACAAGAAAATTTTCGCTCAGAAATCGAAGTTTATTTATGAAAAACAAATTTAAAAGGAAATGTTTGCAGAAATTCTACGTTTCAAGTGAACAGGAAAAAGAATGATACAGGAAGACGAAGTCTTACCTCGAGCAACCGAGCCGCCATTTTTGTGAGCACTTCATGCGAAGAACGACACAACAAACCCTTTTGGCTATAAACTTGGCGAGTCAACAGAAAACAACAAAGCTCTACTTTTCTTTTCAGGTAAGGAAACAGTTCAAACTTTTAGCGGTTCCATTTAAGCCATTACGCTGTCGGTTTGCGAAATGATAAACTTGTGAATTGCCATGTTTGAAAATTCTGCAAAGATCTATTTTTAAACTTACGCGTGATTTGATCTGTCAATCAAATCGTACTTTTGAATGGTTTCCTCTCTGATTTTGTTGAGATCACTTCGTGTGTATATACTAAAACAATTATTTTTTTCAATCTCGGTGAATAGTGGCTTTGGAAATATTTACCTCGCCGCTTTCGCGTCTCGGTAAATATTTGGCCACTATTCACCTCGATTTCAAAGAATAATTGTTAATTATAACCAATCTTCCCTGGCAGTAACTGAGTAAATGCACCTCCATTAATTTTATAACTAGCCATAGTCTGTTCAATGTCAAACGAAATGTCAAGAAATAAGAATATAGTAACACAGAAGAAATAGTTTTCTCCTCAAATTTCAGTTCCTATTCAGCCTAAGATTCGGAACTTTAAATGTAGGATGATTTTACTGTATTTCTTTTTAAAAGGCCAGTTAATGGCTTAGGTAACGTCAATACAATATTGAATATTTTATGTTCATAATTAAATTGTTAAGAATACCCTCGCAAGTCACGCCGTCTCCAGAGTATCCCGTATGACACGTGCAGAAGAATGATCCTTTGGTGTTGGTGCAGTTAGAATCAGAGTGACAGTTGTCGACATTTGTGCCACATTCATCGATATCTAAAAATATAGGTTGATAAATCACATGTTAGGGAAAGCAATTATTTGTCTAAAGAATTTAAGACCTCTAAAACTTACCGGTACAGAAGACTCCATCTCCTGTGTATCCTGAGAGGCATGTACAGTAAAAAGAGCCTTTTATGTTGGTGCAGATAGAGTCATTGTGGCAGTTATGGGCCAAATGTCGGTAGAAGTCATTGATGCCACCAGGTTCGCATTCGTTTACGTCTAAATGAAGAATAAACGGAAACAACGTGGTTGCAAAGGCGAATCGAAATGTAAGATTTTTTTAAGATGCCGGCTTACCAACACAAGAGACTCCATTGCCTGAATAGCCATTTAGACACGTGCAATAGAATGATCCTTTGGTGTTCGTACAGTTCGCATCGTTATGACAGTTATTTACATAAGTTGTATGGTTCTCAGATAAAGAATCCAAGCCGCATTCGTTTACATCTAAAAAAGGAAAAAACGAAAAGGGAGTTAAATCATGCATTTTAAAATCATCAACTTCCTTTTAGTCTTTACGTCACAATAAGTACAAAAGCCATTTAAAACATTTTTATTGTCATTTTAAAATCCTTTACCGACACACTTGACTCCATCTCCAGAGTATCCCGTATGACACGTGCAGTAGAACGATCCTTTAGTGTTGGTGCAGTTGGCGTCAACATGGCAGTTATCTGCATCAACCTGACACTCTTCGATGTCTTTAAAATTAGAATAATGACAGTAATAACGAACAAGTTAAGCAATGATTAGCACTAGGAGGGCTCCCCAACTGATAGTTACTCTGAATGATAAAATAGATATGGATACATGTACATAAATTCTACAGTTCATGTTTTTTTTTCAACACCGTGGGATATATCACAAACTAAAGACTGGCCTGCTTTCTAGATCGCTTGAATCCCAGACACTTTACTTTTCAAGTTGACTAAGACATCAATCCATCATTTATTTTTTCTAATAATAACTCAAGTGTACAATTCTCCAATTCTCCTCCCCATTGTATTGTCAAAGTTGTTTTCGTACGTTTAAATACGACCATTTGTCGGGAATATTATCACTGTGCTTACCGACGCACTCTACTCCATCTCCTGTATACCCCTCCAGGCACTTGCAGTAAAATGATCCTTTAGTGTTGGTGCAGTCGGCGTCTAAGTGGCAGTTATGCGAAAGATGTTTGTATTCGTCTGAAATCTCACTTATGTTACATTCGTTCACGTCTAGTTAATCGAAAAGAAAAAAAATTACCGATCAGTGATTTGGACATTAAGTCAGAGAAGGAAGATATAAGGGTTGCAAATAAAGTTATTGTGCATCAATACCTTGACAAACAACTCCATCTCCAGAGTATCCCATATGACATGTACAGAAGAAAGAGCCGTTGGTGTTTGTGCAATTAGCGTCATTGTGACAGTTATGTCTGTAGGGGTTGTGTATTGAGGCCAAAGCGTTCGGTCGGCACTCGTTGATATCTGAAGAAGGATTAATTATAGCATTATTAAGGTTGACAGGATAGATGGAGATCGAAACAAGTCTGAATTTATATTAAAAACGCACCAACGCAGGTGACTCCATCACCAGAGAATCCAGTTTTACACGTGCAGAAGAAAGAGCCTTTAGTATTCGTGCAGTTTGCATCAGTGTCACAGTTGTGAGCAAGATGAATATAATCGTTTGAAATCTCACCAGGGGAGCATTCATCTATATCTGGAAAGAAAATTGCCGTACCAAGGTTCATATTAACAAGCAAGGAAACAAAATAGATATGGAATGCGCCCCTTTTTCATTGCGACAATTCCTCAAAATAACACCTTTGGCCAAAATTTTTTCTTTTTGAATAAGAAATGGGAAAAAATCAAATTCAATCAATACAAACCACTAGAAGAGCAAAAAACGTGGAGCTACCTTGGCAAGTGATTCCATCTCCTGAATATCCTGCTAAACAGTCACAGTAGTAGGAACCTTTGGTATTTGTACAGTTTGCGTCATTGTGGCAAATGTGTGCCAAGCGCTCGTGCTCGGAAAGCAATCCACCTGGAAAACACTCGTTTATGTCTAGGAAAAAGAGAGAAAAGGACTTGAGTGAGCCGGGAAATAAAAGTTGTACAGTAAAGTGGAAAATCATTGTAAAAGGTAGAAACACACTTCTGTTTTGCAGAAGTTATCTTCTGCATGTGCTCTAGCTATCTGTTGTTGGATAAGTTAACGTCATGTAGGTACTAAAAATAATTGTTACTGCCTGCGTTAAGCCTATCTTACCCTCACAAATGACACCGTTTCCAGAGTATCCTAAACGACAGGCGCAGGAGAAAGAGCCTTTGGTGTTAGAACAGTTGGCGTCGTCATGACAATTATGAGCGAGGTGTATGTATTCATTAGACAGGTCACCAGGAAAACATTCATCAATATCTGAAAAAAGTCGACATTCTGTTAATTGCTTTTCAACTGTCTTATTACACATGAATATTATAATATTTACCAACACAGCCAACTCCATCTCCTGAGTAACCAGTCAAACAGGTACAGTAGAAAGAACCATTTGTGTTTGAACATTTGGAATCAGCATGGCAGCTGTGAGTTCCCAGATCACACTCGTTAATATCTGAAACAAATAAACAGATGTCTCAATGGGTTGGCATGTTGCGTGTGTTTATCAAGCACCTACTAATGGTGAGCTTCCGGTAAGCTGTACCTTCTATTAATGTACTGTTTCCCATAGTTGTGTTATTTACCCCTTCGTTAGTATGATCCATCCACTTCTTAAAAAGTACCGTCCGAGGAATTGCTTTGATATGTTTTAATCCATAATTAAACGACGTAAGCCTACCTGAACAAAGCACGCCATCCCCGGAGAATCCTGTATGGCAGGTGCAGAAGAATGACCCTTTGGTATTCGTACAATTCGCATCAACGTGACAGTTGTCAATACCTGTTTGACACTCTTCAGTGTCTAGAATAATAAGCAAACCGTAGGAATGGCTGGAACCGTTAGGAGAACCATATTAGTATTAATTTGTTAGAAATTTCAAACTAATTGCTTTAAACGGAAGAGGAATTTGTTAAGGATAAGGAATTTTCCTTTACTGGTTTTGAAAGACTGACATACCTAAACAAGACAAACCATTTCCTGAATACCCAGTGAGACATGTGCAGTAGTATGAGCCCTTGGTATTGGAACAGTTAGCATCGTCATGGCAGTTGTGACTCAGATTAGAATATTTTGATGACAACAGATCCGGAAAGCATTCATTTATATCTGAATTGTAGAAATATAAATCATTTTACCTCAATAGAGAATATAACCATATTATGACATATGATGCATCAGCATGTCATCTTCAAGGATGTCTTCGAAACCCTTAAGTTTCCTTAGGTAATGTGTATTGCATACTTTTTCAAAAATATGGAGGCTTTTCTTACCAGTGCAAATGACTCCATCTCCCGAGTACCCTGTATGACAAGTGCAGTAGAAAGATCCTTTGGTGTTGGTGCAGTTAGCATCAGTGTGACAGTTATGAGAGTAATGGCTGTGATTACTGGCCAGTCCTTCTAGGTGACACTCGCTAATATCTAAACAAGTAGGAGTAAAGTACGCACTCTCAGAGTAAAATAACTGAACGTAAACGGTTTCAATATTGTGTGAATCATTGCTACCTTCACAAGTGACTCCATCTCCACGGTATCCCGTATGACATGTGCAATAGAACGATCCTTTGGTATTAGTACAGTTGGCATCAGCATCACAGTTGTGCGTTCCAGAAAAACACTCGTCCACGTCTAAAAGTTAATTGTTGTCCATGTTAAGTAATATTCTTAAGTAATGGCTAAAACTGAAATTCCATACTTATCATAGAAAAGGGGTACCCCGACATTCTTGTCCGCTTCCATAAAAGCCCTCCTGACAGCCACATTTGTAAGATCCTTTGGTGTTGGTGCAGTTTGCGTCCTTATGACAAATGTTCGCCAGGTGCAGATCCTGCGGTGATAATCCAGAGGCGTCGCATTCGTTGATGTCTAGGTGTCAGAGTAAATTAAAACAAAACGATAACTGAAATCAAAGCTAACTTTAAATACGAAGATTTAACTTAAGTGAAAGAGAATTAAGATATCATTACCGACGCACGTGACTCCATCTCCAGAGTATCCCATACGACAGGAGCAATAATATGATCCATTAGTGTTTGAACAGCTGGCATCAGCGTGACAGTTGTGGGCGAGGTGACGATATTTATCAGATATCTGTTTAGGAAAACATTCATTGATGTCTGAAAGAAAAATGATAACGAGATAGGCTAAGTGACGATTTGCTGGTGAAAGTCATTCACCTTACCGGGTGAAAAAAAACAAGACGTAGCTTTGTTACCAACGCATGTAACTCCATCTCCAGAGTAACCAGTAAGACAAGTACAGTAAAATGATCCTTTCGTATTGGTGCAGTTCGCATCAGTATGACAATTATGAGCAAGATAGTCATATTCGTCAGATAGCTCTTCTGGGAGGCACTCGTTCACGTCTGGAAAAACAGTTATTAAAAAAGAATTTGTCAATAACAAATTTGAGGAAAAAGCTTCTAGATTTGTTACTACGGATTTACTCACCGTTACAGGTAACTCCATCTCCTGTGTAACCATGGTGACAGGTGCAGTAAAATGATCCTTTAGTGTTAGTGCAGTTGGCGTCACCATGACAGTTGTCAGTATTTGTGGCACATTCCTGGATATCTTTCGGGCAATAAAGGTATTTAGTGGAACACAAACTTAAAAATTTCAAATCGCATCTACTATAATAACAAGAATTGAAGGACAACATGAGTTTTCCACTAAAATATTATTTAGGAACAGATTAAATATTAGATTATTAATTTTGAGACACAAGTAGTATTTCATCCAAGTTAGTACATTTGGAAGTAAGCATAAGATGCGCATGCATGATTAGATTCATATTAGATTGGATCAGGAGTTAGTTGCATGAGATGTGTTAGGTAGCTGCGTGGATATTTCACCTCTAAAATTCTCTAATGATTATCCACTCACCAACACAGCTTACTCCATTACCGGAATACCCATTGAGACACGTGCAAGAGAATGACCCTTTAGTGTTGGTACAGTTGGCATCAGCGTGACAGTTGTGAGCAAGATGATGGTATTCATCAGATATCTGATCAGGGAAACACTCGTCTATATCTACAAACAATTGGAAAGTCGTACTTAATAGTGTACCACCAAGAAAAGAATGGTGAAGTAGTGACCTGATCGTACCTAGACACGTGACTCCATCTCCAGAGTATCCCTTATGACATGCGCAGTAGTAAGATCCTTTGGTGTTAGTACAGTTGGCATCAACGTGGCAGTTGTGGGAATAGTTATGGTGGTGTTCGATTGCTAAACCGTCTGCACGGCACTCATTGATGTCTAGAACGGAAAAATGAGAGAACAACGAAAAAAAGGTTAAGAAAAAGACACATTAAGAATCACCCATAAGCGACGAAAATTTGCCCAAAAGTTTTCGATCTGGAATTTTAATTTGAAAGCAACTGGATTTGCATAAAGAAAACAACTGTCTTGTTTTGCACCAGAAAATCGCAGCGACTGTCATTTGTTTTCTTGGACGTGCAGAGTTGTAATTCTTGTTCTTACCGACACATGTGACTCCATTTCCGGAATACCCTGTAAGACAGGTGCAGTAGAACGATCCGTCTGTGTTGGTGCAGCTAGCGTCTGGATGGCAGTTGTGTGTTCCAGCAGAACACTCGTCAATATCTAAAATGGTGGACAGGGCACAAAAAAGTAATCTTAAGTTGATTTCTGCTAAAGTGAATGGCTTGTACGCAAGAGTGAAGTCAAGAGTAGGTGGAATATGATCCGCCCGCTGATTGTAGTCACGAATAGGACTGATGTTTGCAGTGACTGACGTTTAAGCAACCTTTATAACATAGCGCGCGTGCTTGCCCTATATAAGTCCTATTGAGCCACTATGAACAAAATCTTTATTTACGCACGCCCGTGCGTAAATAAGATGACGTAAGCATTTTGTTTTACCTGGCTGCAGAGTTGTCGTCTGTTAAGCTGCAGTGCAGTTTTCCTTCTCTTTAAAATATGGAAGAAACCAGCGAAGAACTGCCCGATTTTTCTATCGGCATTGACCTTTTAGGTCCTGATCCAACAAGCAGCAAAAATTGAGCCGAATTAAAAAAACTCGCATGTTGCGCGTTTCGCAAATTTGTTGGAAGACCAGCTGCAGCAAATTTTGGCCGAAAGACATTCACTGGGAACAGAACAGACACCAACTGGTCATCAACAACATTAAGAGGTTAAATTTCCGTTTTTATTGTTGTTTTTAAATTTGTTATACACTTTTGTTATCTGCGGACAATCCGACTGAAGCAGGAAGATTTCTCTGGCAATAACAACACAAATTACACAAGAAGACATAAATTTATTACTCACAAAAACAACTGCTGCCAGGTCTTCTCAAGAAGCCGTAATGACCAGCCAATGTTTGTAAATGAATATGAGTTTAAAGAAGGATGACAGTCGTCTTCGCTAAAAACATGTTTTCTGGATTTCGCCGAGCAAAACGTAAACATCTTTTCAGCAAATCCAAACCATAGTCCACGACTTCTTACGAACATGTTAGTATTTTAACTTTAGGTGAACTTTAAGACTCTTTTACCCTTGTTTCTGCTTAGTTTCCATTGATCGTTAACGAATAAAGAAGCAAATTTTCTTTCTCAGTTTTACAGAAAAGCTACAGAAAGAATATTTTCATTTAAACTAGATGATTGTGGAGTGTTCGTAATCAGCCAATAGAAGCGTTTGTTATTGTGTAGCGCGTTACGAGAATTTTGTAGTTAATCAAAAAGCAAGCATTTTTGTCAGCTATGTTATAAAAGAATTTGCTCATGCTTTTAGCTGTGCGTATATCGAGTTATGGATGCACTTGGGAAGTTTGGAGAGCACTCAAGAAGCTAGAGTTGCACTCGGCTATCGCCTCGTGCAACTCTTACGCATCTTTCGTGCTCTCCAAACTTCCCCCGTGCATCCATAACTCGATATACGCACGCTAAGCATGAACAAATTCTTAAATGCAGTCGTCATACTAGTAAAGTCAAAGTGTGTTGTATCTCGTCAGTTGATGGAACCCTGGTTATAGCTGGTCAATTAACTCTTGTGTTACTGATCATCTTTCAGTAAAGCGTCGATGTTATTGTCTGTGAGGACTCTTAATCACATTAACATTAACATCAACATCAACATCAATATCAACATCAACATCAACATCGACATCGACATGCAACATTAACAATAACATTAACATTAATATTAACATTAATATCAATATTAACATGAACATGAACATGAACATGAACATGAACATGAACATGAACATGAACATGAACATGAACATGAACATGAACATGAACATGAACATGAACATGAACATGAACATGAACATGAACATTAACATTAACATCAACAATAACATTAGTAGTCTTCAGAGCCAAAAGCAGCTCACTTTTATTCTTCAGGATCACACTCACCTGAACGATCATACTGCATCTACTTATAATAATATTTTTCTCCGCCATACATCTATCAAGATTGACTTTTCTAGACTTATCGGTAGAATTTGGCCCTCTCAGGTGTAAAAGGGGTAAGTGACATGACGTAACAAATATGCTATTTTGCTAATAGATATCCGCACAACCACGTGTTTTATAAACCTACATAGTTGAGCTCTTTCTTTACTCTTTCTTTACTCAACTGCATAAGTTGCGTCTTTCACTGTGATTATTTTCCCTGCATTTACTTCTTCATTTCGCGATTCACTGTATGAAATACATATATTCAGTCATCATTTCATCCCCATCAATTGCCCGGGTGTGTTACAAAAAGTCACTTAGATTATCAGCTCCCAGTTTGTTTGCTAGCTCAGTTGGTTCGCGCGATGCACCGGTATCGCAAAGGTCAGGGTTCGAATCCCGGCAAGCTGGAATTTATAAAGCTTTCTTACTCAAATGCATAAGTTGCGTCTTGCACTATGACGATCTTCTCTTCAATTAAAATTTGACTCTATTCATACCAGCTATTTGACGTATAATATTTCCACAGGCATCATATTAATTGTTTGGGCTGTGCAGAAATCTTCGTTCTTCCAGTTTTTGCTTTCTTTTTTACAAAATGTTATAGGAAATGGAAGAAATGTTAAATCCAGACACAACGAGAAGAAAACATCATGATCTTTTGATGTAAGTAAGGTTAAAGGAAAGGTATATTAACTACCTTGGCAGTAAGTGCCTTCACCAGAGTAGCCCTCCAAGCATGTGCAGTAGTAAGATCCCTTAGTGTTGGTACAGTTAGCATCATCATGACAATCGTGAGCCAAGTGTTGGTACCCAGATGATAGCCCGGAAAGATCGCATTCGTTAACATCTGAGAAGGGAATCAAACGAATGTCATACTGGCATATGAGTCCATGACTTCCGTGTCTGGTTCGTGCTTAGCGTGTGTATATCGCGTTATGGGTGCATGCGGGAAGGTAGGAGATAAAAGGGAAGCGTAAGCTCAAGCTCTCAGGTAAAATATAATTTCAAAACTACAATAGTAATTAACCAATCAAATGTCTGCATCGTAGAAACCTGTCTAGTCAAAGTTCCTTCAAAATCAAGTCCCAAATTCAAACTCGAAAGCCAAGTAGAAATCAATCAGAAATAAAAAACAAAGATCTAACCGAAATTCAACTCGGAATCATAAAAGCCAGGCGCGGATCCACACCGGCTTCCACCGTTTTACGAAAATCGGTCAGAGTTTTCATAGATAAATAAATTTTTCATGAAAAAAAAACTTTCCAAGTTAAAATCTGGCCAATATCCTGACTGACTGACTCAGGTGACTTTAGGGAGTGAAAAAAAAAAAAAAAAATTCACCGGGGTGCATGCCTAAAAAAAAAAAAAAAAAAAAATTCACCGGGGTGCATGCCTCGGACCCCTTTAGAAGCTTACGCCCTCGACGCTCGTTTTGGAAAACGGTCAGTATTTATCCTAGATCCGCGCCTGAAAGCCGCAATTTCTTTGGATAAACGACACTTACACTTACGAAAATCGTTAGAACAGCCACTCTCAAGTACTAAATCAAAAAGGTATTAAATCAATTGACTTGACAACATGGGAATTGAGTTTTCCACTTTACAGATTCTTCAGGATCCCGAAGTCGGTGAAGATCAGCCGAAATAGCGAAATTTGAGATACCTTAAGACTTTTTACGGTTAAAATTAATCTGCACTTATGACGGTTGATGGTAAAATATAACCTTTTTTGACGGACGACGGTTAACCCCATTAAGAACCTCGTCATAAGATCATTGTTTAAAGTTACGTGTATAGGAATCGTCTCTATTTTATAAGAATAAATTTAACGCCATTAGGCTTTCTAAAACTTACCAATACACGTGACACCATCTCCTGAATAACCAGTAAGACATGTGCATTGGAATGACCCGTTTGTGTTGGTACAGTTGGCGTCGCCGTGGCAGTTGTGGGCAAGATGGCGGTACTGTGCAGGTATTTGATCAGGAATACACTCATTCACATCTAGAGAGAAAGTATCAAGGGGGTTATTCCTTTAAATCAGAGCGGCAAAGGTCTCACGATTAATATTGCGAGGCTGGATTACGACAATATATACTAAGGGTAATAAAAGTAATTAATAAATAGAGATAATTTAAAATGATAAAGGGAGGGATAAATAATTAAGGACACTTCTAGTTCACAGCGCTTAACAATAAAGTAGGTACATCATAAAACATGAAAAATAAATAAAATTACGTAAACAATTAGAAAACCGTAGTTACCGGAACACGTGACTCCATCACCCGAATATCCCGTGTGACAGTTGCAGTAGAAGGATCCTTTGGTATTAGTGCAGTTGGCATCGGCATGACAGTTGTGAGCAAGATGATGATCATCATCTGACATTATGCACTCGTTTACATCTAGAAAATATACGCATGCTTGGTTTAAAAGGTTTTGGCTCCTTTTTTTCACTGGATAAGTATTAAGGAAATAATTATCCCGCGATCGTGAGTGTAATTTGTCACCCATTAAATTGATAGGTAATCAAAATGGAATACTTGTAAAATTAGGGACGGGCCGATTAATTTTACTTGCGGTGTTAATAATGTCACTCTTAACCACTTGATTACACATACTAATGACATTAAGTATAAACATACCATTACACGTTACTCCATTCCCGTAGTAACCATAGAGACATTTGCAGTAGAATGATCCTTTGGTGTTAGTACAATTGGCATCGGCGTGACAGTTGTCAGAATGTGTGGCACATTCCTCTATGTCTGGAAACATGGTATGGTTATTTCATTGAACTATCTCTTATCATTTTGTGTAAATTCGAAAACAGAATATTTAAAAAAAGAAAAAAATGATGTTTAAGATGATATTAAACTTATTTACACGGCAAAAGTGAAAGTTACAGATTAGTTCTAGTCAATACTTCATCGTGAACACCTTCATGTTACCTGAATTATTAGCGCGTATTCATTTTAGCTAATATTACTTTAGTAACAATGGATCAGGAGTTAGGAGTTAGAAATAAATTTATTACCGTCTACATTTTTTATTAAGATTAAAGGAATGAAATGATGTGAATGGCAAGAAGAATGACCATAACTCAGCCACACCAATGCATAGTGTTCAACTCACCCAAACACGTGACTCCATCACCGGAATAGCCACTAAGACACGTACAATAGAATGATCCTTTGGTGTTGGTACAGTTGGCATCAGTGTGGCAGTTGTGAGCAAGATAATTGTATCCTTCTGGTATTCGATCAGGGAAACACTCATCCACATCTCAAGGAAAAAGGAAATAGCTCTATTTATATTACTGTTTTTGCAGTTTGTAAAAACCTTCAACACAATAAAGACATTATGGAACTTACAAAATAAGTTTTTTTTGCGGAGGGCAAAGAACACTACCTACAATTACGAGAATCAGACTAACTTTTTTTTTGGTTACAAAAGAAAAGAGATGAGTAAGGATAAGTTAAACAGGCGTTAATACAAGAAAGCGAGCATTGACAAGGTGGAAGGATCCAAGAGGTACTATTTCACTGAAATAACCTTGCCTTGTGTCTCAGTTTTTCTACTTTGGGCTTTACCTTTACAGATAACTCCATCTCCAGAGTATCCCGTATGACAAGTGCAGTAAAATGATCCTTTGGTGTTGGTACAGTTGGCATCGTTATGGCAATTGTGGGCATAACTGCTGTGATCAGGGGCTAGGGTTTCCGAATCACACTCGCCTATATCTGCAATTGTATTTACAAGGGTCGTGTTCATTTAGCTTCTTTTATCAAGAAAAAAAGCTAAAACTACTCGGTACTTGGTTCGATACAATACAGTAAAAACCGGCGAGTAAGAAACTGGGTTTTTATAAAACTGTGCTTAAGTTTACTAGTTAGGCTCCTCTGTACAAGAACCTGTTCAGCCTAAAATTTGAAAAAGGTTCCCATTTTATAAAATCTGTAAAAGATTTCTGTACACTTGGGAAAATAATAAGGCCTTACAATACATGTATGTTATGTTCTAAACGAGGACTTCAAAATTCATGTGGTCAGTGCTTCAGTTGTTGTTCTTAAAGTCATTTTTACATAAATGTTACAAGTCAAAATTAAATTCAACTCAAAATGTGTTAACTTAAGTTGACTATCAATTTCCTTGGTCTCCTACGGGTCTTTAGCCCTAACTATACATGAATTAGGGCTAGGAGACAATAGAAATTGAGAATTAACCTAGTTTAAAAAAAATAACCTGAATTTAGTTTTGACCTGTAACATAAATACTAATTTTTTAAACTACTCTTAGCTACAATGTATTTTTCCTTCAGAAAATAAGAAACTACAATCCCGGACAAAAGTCCTTGGAACAGTACTGCAATATTCATATTTTTCTGTCTTTTCTAGGTTCCCTCTTAAAACAGTGCATCCTTTTCGAATTTTTCTTGCAGTTCTCCCTCCCCCCACTCTATACAAAGTTGAAACTCGGAAAAAATTCTGGAAAAACGCGTCCAACATTGTTTGTGGGGTGAGGGGAGGGGTTGGACCTGTGTGAATTGAAAAACGCCCCAGAAATGCAAAGGTGTCCCAAGACTTTCGTCCATCATTGTAGTTAAAAACCTAAATAGCCTAAATTTGCGCTCATTACCATTTATCTAGAAACCTGTTTAGGCTAAATTAGGAAAATTCAGATTCTCACTCGCGGGTTTTTTTACGGTATTTGAGTATCTACTACTTACGTTTTGTGGTATTACGAGACTGTTTTTACTTAATAAACGGTAGTCTGAAGACTTACCAACACACGTTATTCCATTTCCGGAGTATCCCGTATGACACGTGCAGTAGAACGATCCTTTGGTGTTGGTGCAGTTGGCGTCGGCATGACAGTTGTGTGTTCCTGAAGAGCACTCATCGACATCTTGGTAAAACGCAAGGAAGAAAATTAGGTCAGTGCAACAAGTATTTGAAATAAAAGCTTGTTGTTGATGTCATGTTACTATCCTTGTAAATTTTTGGGTCATGCGTTATGAACATCCCCCGCCCTCCCCCCAAAAAAGAAAATAAAATCATAACCTACCTTCACAATTGTTTCCATTTCCCGCATACCCCTCCTGACAGCCGCAGTTGTAAGATCCTTTGGTGTTGGTGCAGTTCGCGTCCTTATGACAAATGTTTGCCAGGTGCTGGTGCGCCATCGATAAACCAGAGGGGGCGCATTCGTCAATATCTGTAAAAAACAAACAAACAAAGGAAAATAATAACATCAATAAAACTTTGTTCAATTTCCCCAGCTAGCTGGAAGACGTCTTCACACTTTTGGTTATTTGACAAAAGGATTTTAAACAAGCCTTTCATCATACCAGGCTCTCACACTGCCTGGTCGCTCTTTTCAGGCAGATTAAACTCAAACTTTGAAAGGTTGTTAATTTTAAGGCGCTATTTCAGCAGCAGCGTAGTAGAATTTCGCCAACTGGTGGTATCTTTTTTTGAAAAACACAAATCATGGAAAGGGTCCTTTCAACTCTTAAGTTTACCATACAACACACTCATGCAATTTCTTTAATTTATTGAGCTTTTTATATTACACTATTCATTAAACGGATAATTCGTAATGAGAAGATGTAAAAGAGCGCCAAATACCTACCAACACACGTGACTCCTTTGCCAGAGTATCCGGTATGACAGGTGCAATAATAAGACCCATTAGTGTTTGAGCAACTAGCGTCAGTGTGACAGTTGTGCGCAAGATGCTTATGTTTAGTAGACAGCTGTTTGGGCAAACACTCGTCGACATCTGAAGGAAAAATTATCTTATAATAATAAATGGCTTCCAGCTTTCATGCGTTTAAAATGGGCAGATTTGTCAACTGATTATTAAGAAGCTAAAAGTGTCTTCTGCACAACTTATAGGGGGCTAAACGGGCAACAAATGCGGAAAAACAAACATGGAATTGAAATATCACCAGTGGCTGGGACTCTAACTGATTTAGGCCCCTGCACCCCAATTACGACCACGGACAACAACTACAGCGTGAAAAACAACAACAACAACAACGACAACAACAGTTTTGCACGTGTATCACACTATTTGGTTCATTTCATTAAAGTCTATCACTCGACTAAGACGTGAACCTCCCTAATGAGCGTTTTATGAAGAAGGACACAGCCCTGATGACCTATATTTGACCGGGGAAGAACAATTCAATCAAACATATTCTAAGTGACATAGCATTATCAATTCTCAGAATCTCGCGACTCACTTATGGACCTCTACCCTAGGAAATGTTCCAGTAAGGCAGCCCGCTAGTTACATCAGTAATCTCATGAATTAAACTCACCAACACACGTGAATCCATCTCCAGAGTATCCCGTATGACACGTGCAGTAGAACGATCCTTTGGTGTTGGTACAGTTGGCATCAGCGTGGCAGTTGTCAACATCTGTTGCACATTCCTCTATGTCTATAAATACAGCATAATAAACAACAAAATCCAATAGGCACCTAGTCTACACCATAAAGTAGTAAATTCATCGTAACCAAATTCATTACAATTTTAATTTCTCATCACCTAGAATCTCATGATGTCAATGTACAAAACTGAATTGCCCTACGTACCAACACACGTGACTCCATCTCCAGAGTATCCCGTATGACAAGTGCAGTAGAATGATCCTTTGGTGTTGGTACAGTTGGCGTTTAGGTTGCAGTTGTCAGTACCTGTTGCACATTCTTCAATGTCTAAAATGAAAAAAATATTATTATGCGTGCATCGAAAGAGGGAGTTACAAGTCGTAACTTAGCCTGCATCGCCGGGAAGAAAAGACTGATAGCAACAAAAAACATTCGCGCACCCGAAGAAAACGCCTGCACTGCAGGCCAGTCGAAACGTGAAAAAAAGAAAACATCTCATGCAACTTGTACTGCATTTAGTCATATCAGTTAGCATGTGAAATCACTAGTTAGACAGACAAGTAGGAAGACGAAAAAAACCCCAAAATTATATGATATATGGATCAGGAGTTTTTATCCACAAGAGTTAACAGATATCAAATGTTCATTTAAAGATGCTTTTATAGTATCAAATTAAGATTCCAAACTGGCGCAATTGCAGGTTTCCCTATCAGTGTCACCTACCTGCACAGGCCACACCGTTGCCTGAATAACCAGGAAGGCACGTGCAGTAAAAAGAACCTTTGGTGTTTGAGCAATTCGAATCAGCGTGACAGTTATGTTCAAGAAGACTATACTCATCTGATATCAGATCAGGGACACATTCGTTGATATCTAAAGGACATCATAAACATAAAATTATATTTATATTTCATTGGATATTCAATTAAAAGCTAACATCCATGCAATCAGAAACAGGGCGACAAAAAGCTTCTGTTACTGAATGACTGCCACGATTTGAAATGAAATGTCCAGAGAAAAATTGAAAGTTAATTGACTGTTACTACACTGTTCATAAACCTAATTTCGATAACCTCAGCGGGTTTTCCTGGCAAATAAACCGAGAAAAAATAAACAAATATAAATTAACAAGGCAAATTTTATCTGACAAGTTTTGTTTCTTCTTAAATTTGCAGAGGCGATATATTTTCCCCAGAGGTAATTGATGAAAAAACCACTGTTGACACTAGTATTAGAGTTTTCAGGATTTGGAAGAACGTTTCATGAGACAACCTAAACTTAGGCTTAGACCAAACGTCGAACTTCTCATGGGATGAATCAAACTTAGTGAGTTAAGTCCATAAAGAGATCGACGTTTGGCTCAGTTAAGTTCGTCTGAATGAGTTGGATTGTCCAACAAGTTCTATCCGTCTACTTCAGACGGGTAGAACGTCTGAAGATCGTCTCCGGGACGAGGTCGATTTTCAAAAGCGACAAACTAAACTAATAAATAAGATCTGAATGATATGTATATTTAGCCCCTTTTCTGATAAAATTTATTAAAATTGCTCTTTGGTCTGATTCAGTTGATTCGTTCGACGCGTCCTAAGACTCCTTAGTTCGACGTCTTACCCAACAGACGATCTTAACTTGATTTGGGTCGACCTAAGTTAGAGTTTGGTTCGTATCATGAAAAGTTCGACGTTCGGCCTGGGCCTAAGTCATAAAAGTCTACATGCCAAGCTAAATAACTATCAATAACCAAAGGTTACGGAGTGCTGGCGACAACGATCGAAGGTCAAAACGCTTCTGCTCCATCGTTGTGCTTTGCATAAGTTTCACGTGACAGATAGTTAAAACACGCGTGATCAGTTAACGAGGGATAGAAAGTCTAAACGCGCGTGTTCGAATTGCTTTCTGTACATTCCATTCATTCTTCGTCGAAGTCCGAACGAATGCAACAACCTGGAGATTAGGATTGCGGGCTCCTGTTGTCGCCCTCAATAACACCTAATTGTCTGTTTTCATTCTTTTAGATGACATATCGTCGACCTTGCCCTTTCGTGTCAGTACAATTCACTTTACCTGAACAGACAACGCCATCTCCAGAATATCCCGTTTGGCATGTGCAATAGAATGATCCCTTAGTATTTGTACAGTTGGCGTCCGTGTCACAGTTGTGCGAGTAATTGCTGTGATGAGGCGCTAAGGCCTTTTCATCACACTCAGAAATATCTGGAAAGAGAAAAAACATTTCAGCGTAATTAAAGCTATAAAAAGTAGTAATATGTACATATATGAAGGATTATTGCGTTAGCTCTTCAGAAAAACTAACCAGCGCAAGTGACACCGTCCCCAGAGTATCCTGTATGACATGTGCAGTAAAATGATCCTTTGGTATTAGTGCAGTTGGCATCCGCGTGACAATTGTGTGTTTCAGATACGCATTCATCAATATCTTAAAAAAAGAAAGATTTTTTGTAATATCTGTAAATATATATCACGTTCCTTTCTGTCTACTAAAACAACATCCTCAAATTGTAAATTTGAGTATTAGTCTTAAAGAAGCATGTAAAAACAAGTTACGCTCCGATTGTGATGGACTGCTACTAAACCCTGTGAAATTCAAGACTTTAACAACGTTAGGAGATCGATCTTTTGCTGCTGCTGCTCCTCAACTATGGAAATCATTGCCCTATTCAATTAGGAGCAGCCCTCAGTGGCATCTTTTAAAAAGACACTCAAGACATTTTTATTTCAGAAAGCTTTTTTGTGATTTTATGTGCTTTTTAATCTCGTTTTTAATAGGTTTTATGCAGTTTTGTACGATTTAAGTAGTCTAGGTAATTTTTCTAGTTTTATTGTTGACATAATTGTTTTATTCTTTTTTGGAGGTTCATGCACTTTTTGCATGTATACTTTATACAGTCTTAGTATTTTTTGTGTTTTTTGTTTTTGTTTTTTTTTTTAAATATTTTTATTTTTAAGGGCTGATGAAACTAGCGATATTGATATCGGCGCTATATAAGTATTATTATTATTATTATTATTATTATTATTATTATTATTATTATTATTATTATTATTATTATCATTATTAGCCGTACTGATGCCAGCAATTTGAAGCGGCCATCTCTATTACATATAACGGCTTGGAAACTAAAATTTCGAGGACGGTTTTGGACTTTTTACATTTAGGGCATGAATTTTTCGTCATTTCAGGCCATGGAACCTAAAAATGAGCCTAGCTAGCTGTAAAAAGGGGCAATACGGAGGCAATACGTCCTAGCCGGCATGATCACATGCTGTTTACGGAAAATTCCCTCATCCATGTCAGGAAATTCTGTATTTTAAAGCCTCCCCTAGGGCATGACTCAGCAATTGAGGACATTTCTGCTACGTTTTCAATGTTGGTTAGCATGCAAGGATTTTTCCCATGCCTATCGTCAATGATTTGCTCACTGGTAATAGAGGGGGTGGCCCCAGAGTGGTTTTGCATTGAAATTGGCATGCAACAGAATTTCGCATGCCCTGTAAGCATAATTTGAGGTTCTGTGACCTTCTCACCCAGGCCGCGAGAAGCCTAGGTTCTAGTAATAAGTAATTCATACCCAGCAAAATCCCCGGCATGCCGGGCATGCCAAATTTTCTGACATGCCCGGCATGCTAAATTCTCTGGAATGCCGGGCGTGCCATAATCTGGGTCATGCCGGGCATGCCAAAATCGGTCTCTGGCATGTTTCAACGCACAGGTTATAATTCCTTGAATCTACAGATATTTTAAGCCTGGCTAAAAAAAAAAAAAAAAAAACAGATCACAGTGCTTATCTTTTGATGTACGGTTACACGATGACGTCATTGCTATTCCTTTCATTTTCATAGATTTGGTTGTCCCAGCGAAGTTTAAATAACAAAAGCTCTAATTTTCACAAGAAAGTAAAACCCTGAGGGATTCTGCCGAAGTAATAAAACAGCGTCATCGTGGAGATGACCTGTTGGGGGATTGTAAAAACTCCTCACCCCTTTTAATGAGTCTTTAATAGGATTCCCATTTCACATTGCGAATAAAATGGAATTGACTGAAATCAGTAAAAAGAGAGACAGAGACTATTTTCATTGTATAATAAAATGCATCTATGTTCCATGAAAGCTTTTAAAAATACAAGGTTATAGAATATCTTTCAAAGTTCATTACAAACTGAGCTAAGCCCCAAAATCACTGTTCATTATTCAGTAAATTATGATGTTTGACAATGCAATGTGCTTGAATATAACGTTGCAATTACAAATCTCTCGAACGCAATTTTCCCTACGTTAGAAAAGCTCTTTTTATCTTGTTTCACATTTTGATAAGGAGTCTGAGTTCCTCTTTCTTGTTTTGTAGGCTTGCCAGGGATTAATGTTTTTTTGTCATTACCAGTGTCTGTGTTCTTCGTTTTTAACTCAAAGTAAGTCAGTAATAACTGACGGTATCAAAGGATTGCTCTCTAGAAAAGTAATTATCTCCTCGTCATGTCTGGAAGTTACCTGTAACAAAAAAGAAATGGAATCTTAACACATGCAAGGGCAATATGAAAAAAAGAAATAGAACATGTAGAGCTCAGCTTCTCTTAACATATTTTCATACTGGCTTGTTGAGTCTGTTAAAGGTCGCAACTAATTGTCTGAGGCTAATTTCACAAGAGTGTGCAATTGAGATAAATACATGGTAAATAAAGTGAAAGAAACGTGGTTTCACATTAGCCAATTTACATTGCGCTGTTCGATGATGTTTACACGCTTTTCTACTGCGAAATAAACCTTTGCATTTGGATTTGCAAGTCAAGATTATACCGAGTTTGACTGACACTTAATTGAACAACAGTTTCATTTTTAAGCAGGCAATTGGGGTGTAGACCCATATAAAGCCGGAATATGTAAAGGAAACTCAGCGAAAACTTTTTCGCATCTTTTTGTGGCGATATTCTTTCACGGCCCGTCAACTGATTAGGGGTTGCGAAGAAAAAATAAATTAGGACCAAAGGTTAAAGCCTGTCCGGTTACATCATTTCGTATGTTACCTAGAGTTCTAATAAATAGGTCATAAAATAGGATTTAACGAGAGCGAATTTGTTTCTCAATCGGTGTATAAAAAAGTGAGGCTATCAAATGAGAAGTTTATAGAGTATCAAAATTATTAAATTAAAAGCTCATTTAATTAGGAAAATTCCTATACGAAAACAATGCTAGTGACATTAAATTGATCAGATAAAATTCTCAGAAAATATGTCCAATAAAAGCCTCATTATTTGCTTTTGTTTTTGCGTAAAGGTAAATTTTTCGGCCCACAAAGCAAAGTTGAAAAAGCGACTAAATCTTAGTTTTTTACATTGAACATGTTTATTAGCTTAGTTTTCGTCCGTTTTAAAAGCTTTATAACCCAATCATAATTTTCGGGTTAAAATATTACAAAATCATTTCAAAAACCATGTTCATTTAAAGTAGAGCCGGCAAACCTGAACATTTTGTAATTCAAAAGTCGGACCCAGCCAGGTTGTTTAAGCTTAGAATTATTTGCATTTTAGCGTCCTATAAATTTACCAGAATCGCCTCTCAGAGGCTTACTGTAGCAAAGCATTTTGTAGTACACTCGTAGACAAGCAATGTAAGCCTTAAGTCTTTGCTTGGATGAGATGTCCAAAAGAAAAATTAGTTTTGTGGACCTAAACGCACATTCACAGACTGCTTATATTGAGTTGTTTACAACTTTGCATTGACACGCGCAGCATGTTCATTTTTTTAAAGCGAAATCCAAATCTGATTTTGGCATTTGATTTACGGATATTTTATTTTGTCTCCAAAAGTGATTGTAATATCCGTTTGATTGTCTTTCAAACAACAGTCAAACTATGCAGCAAAAATAAGTAACTTTACCAGTACAGTGGAAAAATATGACCGTAGGTGCCAAAAATAATTATACTCGAGCTATAAAATTAGAACTGACTTTTTTTAGCTTTGGTTTCTTATTTTTGAAGTTTTCTCTAGTCTTCTTAGCAGCAGAAGAAGATTACAAGACATACAAACAGAAACAATCCGAAGTGAACAAGTTGACAACCACTTATGCCGGAGTTCTTAGGCATGCTCAACAGCAAGATAAACTGAATGCCAAAAGGATAATTCACGGGATTTGTTCGATATTCAGGCTTTTTCTTTACCAAATTAATACTAAATTTGTACTTACAGTCTCTCGCAGAATCCATTTCTTGTCCAGCATTCACCAACATCTCAACCATGCACCGCAGAAAAAAAAGACAAACAAGTGCGAAGAGACATGACGACATCGTGACGCCACAACTGCCACGCTACAACAAACTAGATTCCTCGTCATCCGCGAAAACACTTCTGCGGAAATTCGGCCGATTTCGTGCGTGCTCGGGGTATCTTCGGATGACGCAGATGACGTTGCTCAAAGGACTATCGTCAGCAAGGAGTAAAACAGTTTGCGAGATTCGCATAGCCGACAAGGAGCGCACTGAAAAACTAAGCAAAATCTCTCTGAGAAGGCAGTCCAAATTCACCAAATCAGAACGTCTTTGCAGTATTAACGTCGTACTCTCGTACTGACTTGAACGACCTGGTAAGCTTCATTTTCACCAGTCTTTTAATGCTGTTGACCGGGAAACATTCCGACACGATAAAACTTAAGCATGGATAAGTTTATACTGAGAAGATTTGTTATCTTATTGTTTAAGACGCTTTTCCGCGATCAAATTTAAATGTGGACCCAGAAATGTCAGTATCGGTTTGAAATAAAAGGATTAATCTTTGATTGCAAGTTAAGTATTCTATTTTATGTATGAATAATGTTGTTTTGTTGTGCTTTTTATTTATAAATCCAGGCTTCTGTCTTCAGTTTTGCCAGTCGATCCCGTGACACACATTGTGACAAACATGACTTTTTTTGTTATAATCTGCATTTATTGCCAGGCATGAAACCTGTAACTTCAAGCTCCCTAAGATATATTTGGCGATTATATGTGATTCTCAGGATATGATGCTGAAGCGAACATCAAAATCAGTCTCGCTGGGCATGCCAATTTCTTGCCTGGCATGCCGGGCATGCCAAACCAACTGGCTTCACCATCGGCATGCCCGGCATGCCAAACCAGAGGAGCTAAAACTGGGAATGAATTATTAACCCGGCGAGAGATCTGGGACCTAAGTTTAGCTGGGTCAATTTTGGGCTGCGAGGGCATGAACCCATTTTTTCCATGCCTATGAGATGTTATTTCTAAGTACCAATGTTCCCTTGAATTTTGTCATGCCTAAATATATAAAATTTTCCCTCTCTCATTAATCCTCAGACTGGATGCGATTTTTACGCTCGGTAGGCATGTTCAACTGAAAATCATGCCCATACCCTTATTCAAAACAAAATGCTATCAAATTTTAGTTTCCAAGCCGTTATATGAGGTCCAGGGAAAAGGAAAGACCACAGAACCCAAAGAAGAGAAGAATTAAGAAGAAGTAAACTATTTGGAGTTGCTATTTTTCTAACGCTTCGTAAGTTTTATATCCTATCCAGAGGCTAGTATTAGAAACCACTAACTTCTTCTCAACTAAAGGGTTCTTCTAACTAACAAATCCACTTATGAGGGGCTTTACTAACTTAAGTTATAAAGGAGCTTTCTTTTAAGAGGTACGTGAAAAAGCGTTACCGTCACAATCCTGTCCATTTCCTGAGTACCCCTCTAGACATATGCAGTAATAGGATCCTTTAGTGTTTGAGCAGTTAGCATCATCATGACAAATGTGAGACAAGTGTTGGTACTCAGAGGATAATCCAAATGGCTGACATTCATCGATATCTAAAAAAAACGGTGTGAGGAGACGTAAGTGTAAGGCCGAACACTGGTCAAAAATAGTATGAATAGTACCCTGTAAGACTGAAGAAAAGGTAGAACTTTTTTTTCACACGTTATTGTTTTGTAGTAAAGCCGACTTCCGTTCAGCAAATTTAACCTCCGAGGTACTTTTTTCTATGAGATTGTGAGGGTAGCCACTAGTAATAACGCTTGTGAGTTAACTGAGTGGTTCCTTCTAAAACTGTAAGGTCTTCACCTTTCATGAGACCTTTGTGCTCTTTTCTGGAGCTATAAAGTCAAGCGCGAAATTTATCAGGGTCCAAAGTGCACTTCCCAGGTCTGGAAGTCTGCTGTGATTGGTCTACGTTTTTTCCGCTCAAGTCAGCAGACGTCCGTGGGTCAGGAACGCGTGACAAACCCCTAAGAACGTCTGCAGGGGAGGCTACTCCACAACGGCCACCTCTCTATAGCGGCATCGGCCAGTAACGCGTGTTCTCAACTGCCAAAATAACCTCTCGGCGAAGGTCAGTGTTTTTCAATGACTGATGAGAAAGTCAAGAATGGTCATGAATTTGCACGTTTATGATATATCGGGGCAATCGTATTTTGATTTTTGCTTCATTTATACTGCAGCAGTAAGTACTTATGGCGAATGTTGCGAACCTTGCTCGTTTTGGCGGTTACGTCAACATCTTGATTCAAGACATAATTCAATTTTTTTGTGTAGTTTGTCTCTTTGCATTAAATATGATTGGATGGACAGTAAACAGGCATGAACTTGGCACTCCCTGAAAGAATTGTCATATAACAACCCTACCTCCCCATAACAGCCACTTTCTTTTGTCCCCAAGGTGGCCGTTGTGGAGAGGTTCAACTGTACTAAAGGAAAGGATAGTGTGTGTAGAATACCCACCAACACACGTGACCCCATCTCCAGAGTATCCCGTATGACACGTGCAGTAGAAGGATCCATTAGTGTTGGTACAGTTGGCGTCAGCGTGACAGGTGTGGGAGAGCAAACGATATTCATCAGATATTTCATCGGGCAGACACTCATTCACATCTAAGATAAGACAACGATAGAAATAATGTCTGTTTAATATACTCATATGCTAAGTTATTTCTTACTAGTAATGATTAAACTCCCCGCCAAATGTTTTATTTAAACTTAGTATAGAGGAGCCTGCAGTGTATTCAGTTCAGTGTTGATTGAGGAAAGGATTTCTCGTATTTTGCTTCACAACCTTATTTCTTTTAATTACACTGTAAAACTTATAAATACCGCGAGTAAATCCATGACGCGGCAATGCATGTATTTAATTGCCTACTGCGTGTTCTTCTATTCGACATTACGACCAGTGCTTCAATGAAGCACCACGGTAAATGAAACGATCGTACGTACCAACACACGTGACTCCATCTCCAGAGTATCCCGTATGACACGTGCAGTAGAACGATCCTTTTGTGTTGGTGCAGTTGGCATCAGTATGGCAGTTGTGAAATCCGACAGAACACTCCGCGACATCTTAGAAAGAGAAATAAGCAGAGTTTTTTATTCAGTACAGTCTTAGATTGCCTTAGCCCCATAAACAGACTCGCATCTCACGTGTTTTTCCTTGCACCAAAAGGCTGGTTAAAAGAATTGTAAACCATGGTCGATCCAGACTTACCAGGTTTTTGAACATGAAAAAAGTCAAAGAGAAAATGAAACGTGACTTCTTGCATCGACAAAAAAAACCTTTTTTGACACAACAGGTCACGCTTATTTTTCTGACGTTAAAGGTGAAACTTCACTTTCATGTTACCTAGGTACATGTAGCAAGCCGATTACCACAGTTATCCCTTTTTAGCAAAATTTCTTTAGACAAGAAAAGAATAAATTTACATACTGACAAGCAACGACTAGGGCGTAATGGGACACCCGTCCTTCAGAATTAGCGTTTCACGGCCATTACGGATCTTACGGACTGACGACATGGCTGGATAGTGTTTCAGTTTCTGTGGAAACTGTAAACACAAATATGTCGCTGCAGAGAGCGTTTGTTGTTCTTGGTGGAATCCGGGCCTGTTCATTGGAGCCTTGTTAACCATTCAACGAAGAATACTGTGCTACTGATTAACCAAGATGGAACTGTTAAAGTGGTAGTTTGTAAGGGAATAGACAAAAAATATTGTCTTAATCAAAGTCTGAATATTTTCTAGCGTATCTTATTTAATAGCTTGAAATCTTCCATCGTCCTTAAAATAATCTTATGTGGCTCTTTTCAGCAAACACGCATGCGTACAATAAGGAAAAAAAGTGGGTTTTAAGAGGTTTTAAGAATCATGAATCAGTACTTTGGCTTATTGATGTTCTCTTAACGTTGCCATAACAATAAATCTATATTATTTTAAGGTGGCTCGACTGGATTTTTTTCAGGGGATACCTCCCAAGTTTGAGCATTAACTACGTCGCCATTAGTAAAGATATGGGAAAAAGATTACCACAACTGTATTATATAAAGATGAAAATTTCTTATGATCTGGGTTTTATTGCCCTCGGAGTCGCCATGGCAACGTAACGACGCCATTACGTTTTTTATTTATCTTTGTGTTTCTCTGTACCGGGAGTTTTTTTAAGAAATCGCTTAAGAGAGTTTGTACCTGCCATAATTGCCTCAATTATGGCAAAGTTTGAACAAATTCTATGAGAGCGTTTTCGAGATATTTTGAAACGAAGTTTTAAGCATCATAAAAACAGTGAAATAGCATGCTATCCACACAATTAGCTAACTTTTTTAGAAAATGATAAGCTTTGGAAACGCGGCTTCATCTCATAGTGGTTTGATTCCATTGAAAACTGCGTACAAGAAAAGAGGGGAATTGCTCTGGGCGATCGCGAGTAAGAAGAATTTTATTAACTTGCATTCGGCTGCTTTTGTTACAGTTTTTGCACATAATTTGGTCCATGCCTACAATTTTCACATTTTTCAAAAAACCGCTCGATAAAATTTTTTCTAAACTTCACAATCCCGAGATCATTTGCTAATAAATATACCCTGCAAGTTTCAAGAACATTGAAAACAGAGAAGGCTTTTAAATAGGGCCTCAAATATAACCAATTTTCCCCCCAGGTTTTGTGTTTNGAGTTTGTACCTGCCATAATTGCCTCAATTATGGCAAAGTTTGAACAAATTCTATGAGAGCGTTTTCGAGATATTTTGAAACGAAGTTTTAAGCATCATAAAAACAGTGAAATAGCATGCTATCCACACAATTAGCTAACTTTTTTAGAAAATGATAAGCTTTGGAAACGCGGCTTCATCTCATAGTGGTTTGATTCCATTGAAAACTGCGTACAAGAAAAGAGGGGAATTGCTCTGGGCGATCGCGAGTAAGAAGAATTTTATTAACTTGCATTCGGCTGCTTTTGTTACAGTTTTTGCACATAATTTGGTCCATGCCTACAATTTTCACATTTTTCAAAAAACCGCTCGATAAAATTTTTTCTAAACTTCACAATCCCGAGATCATTTGCTAATAAATATACCCTGCAAGTTTCAAGAACATTGAAAACAGAGAAGGCTTTTAAATAGGGCCTCAAATATAACCAATTTTCCCCCCAGGTTTTGTGTTTACAAGTGAGCGTCCTCATTATTCATTGGCATTGTTTCCAAGTTTCATATGCACGTGCACATTTAGCAAAAATAAATAAGTTTGCATCAAAAAGAACTCTCGATTACTTTCGGAAGAAATATCCGGAATATGCTAATAATTGGCTTGTGTCACAGATAGCAGTGAGAGCCGAGACGGTGAACGTCACGGCTCATCGTGCAGGATGAAATACTTTACTTACTCGGGTTATAACTTCACAGAAACTCTTACAAAGAGTTGCTGTGACGTTATAATATATCACTAATTTCTTTACCCGGTTATTAGCATATTCGGGAGATTTAACAGAGGGTTCTTTTTTGATGCAAATTCTATCTTTTTGCTAAATGGGCACGTGCATATAAAACTTGGAAACAGTGCCAGTGAATAATGAGGACGCTCACTTGTAAACACAAAATATGGGGGGAAAATTGGTTATATTTGAGGCCCTATTTAAAAGCCTTCTCTGTTTTCAATGTTCTTAAAACTTGCAGGGTATATTTATAGATGATTGATCTCGCGATTGCAAAATTTATAAAAAAATTTATAGAGCGGTTTTTTGAAAAATGCGAAATTTGTAGGCATCCACCAAATTATGTGCAAAAACCGTAACAAAAGCAGCCGAATGCAAGTTACTAAAATTCTTCTTACTCGAGATCGCCCGGAGCAATTCTCCTCTTTTTTTGTACGCAGTTTTCAATGGAATCAAACCACTATGAGATGAAGCCGCGTTTCCAAAGCTTATCATTTTCTCAAAAATTTAGCTAATTGCGTGGATAGCATGCTATTTCACTGTTTTTATGATGCTTAAAACTTCGTTTCAAAATATCTCGAAAACGCTCTCATAGAATTTGTTCAAACTTTGCCATAATTGAGGCAATTATGGCAGGTACAAACTCCCTTAAGCGATTTCTTAAAAAAACTCCCGGTACAGAGAAACACAAAGATAAATAAAAAACGTAATGGCGTCGTTACGTTGCCATGGCGACTCCGATTGCAATAAAACCCAGATCATAAGAAATTTTCATCTTTATATAATACAGTTGTGGTAATCTTTTTCCCATATCTTTGCTCATGGCGACGTAGTTAATGCTCAAACCTGGGAGGTATCCCCTGAAAAAAATCCAGTCGAGCCACCTTAATAGCACCCATCTAGGCCTTTCCCGATTGTGCTCAGCAACTTTTGAGCAACTTTTGGCGTTTGGAGCAAATTTTTGAGGTTCTAGCAACCTCGAGCAAATTTTGTCTTTCTGAGCATTTTTTGAGCAAAATATAGGTTTAGAGCACATATCAATCAAGCACGAAAAAGTCAACGATTTCATTGAAAAGTTCAATTTTTCTATTTTTTAAATTATTTTTTAAATTATTATTTTTACTTTTTTTCATTTTTTTTTCTTGACCGATGTTTGTAATTATTGTGAAGAACGAAAAATAAAGCTTTTATTTAACGTTTATATAAGAATATCAAGAAATTTAGGTGGTAACTTTTGAAAGTTAGGGAGCAACTTTTTGGCATTGCAGTGAGCAACTTTCCAGCATTTTACGAGCAACAACAACAACAACAGTTTATTTCTACTACTTTAGACAACCAAAAGAATTTACAAGAATATTATAAATAAACAGTGCATACAGTAGTCGGACACCCAAAATAACTAAAAAGCTAAACTAGTTGGGTGACAGTAATTATGATAATTAAAAATGTGAAAGTCAGGAAAGAGGCACAACAAATACATTGGTACACATAAGTATCATAAACTTGGTACAATAGTGGATATACAGAACAAAACAAAACAAAATAAATAAATATACACCATCAAAATATCAGTAAAGATTAATAGAGACTAATGAAATGCAACTTTAGTTCTTTTTAAAATCGATTGAAAGTAAGACACTTGAATCTTTCATCGAGTTCATTCCATAATTTAGGTCCATTAAATCGAATATTAAATTTGCCATAATTTGTTCGAATTTTTGGAAGATAGAAAATAGATCTAGATGCAAATCAAGTGTTTACGTTATGTTTACAAGATGTTTTAACAGAAAACGAATCAAAGATCTTTGGTAGTTTGCCAGTATTAAATTGATGCATAAAGCAGAGAGTTTGAAGCTTAATAATGATCTTGAAGTTTAAGAAGGTTAAGCTTAGCATCGAAATTAGAGAAAGTAATTAAACGAATTGCTTTTCTTTGTATTATTTGAAGTGTTTTAATGTTATGGTCATAAGTGTTGCCCCACACTGTACAGCCACAGGAGAGAAAGGGAAGAATAATGGCATGGTATAATTGAACTAGTGTTTTCGTGTCATCAAAATGTCTAATCTTACCTAGGACTCCAATAACCCTAGATATATATTTTTTAAATTTCTTGGATTTGTTCCTTCCAACTGAGATGACAGTCTATGAGAATGCTAAGGTACTTAACACTTTTTTGTTAATTAATTGGCTTACAATCTGTTTCAATGTTCAAGGAATTGTTTATCTTTTTTTGATGAGGATGAAATATTACAAAATGTGTTTTAGCAATATTGTGAGTTGGTTGGCACGAAGCCATAGGCTCGATTAACATTTTCCTCAACATGATGTAAATCACTATGGGTATAATATAGATTAAAATTATCAGCAAATAAACGGAAATAAAAAATAGATGAACAATTGGTGAAGTCATTAATACAAATCAGGAATAATACTGGGCCAAGCACAGAGCCTTGTGGTAATCCACATGTTTTTTGCAGTGGATCTGAATCTGATTGTTTACAGAGATAAATTGCTGTCTGTTAGTGAAGTATGAACCGCTCATTTGGTAAACCAAAAAAGCCTAATCCCATCAATATTGGGTTATTACAGGCCAAATACGCTTTCTTTATGTACAAAACTGATTCAAGGGAATGGGGACAGAAATCCACTGAAATGTGAAAGCTAAAAACTTCTCAACAATTTTGACCACGATAGCGGTAAGTAAAAGCCATCCGGATAGACCGGCCTGTAAACTTCGTACGGCAAAATTCAGCTCTCTTTTCGCCCGACCATATGAACACACTTTATTTATTATCAAAGCGGTAAGACGAGCTGTCGTTCAAAAGTGCTCAATATAAGCAAGCGCTCGTAGACTTGTCATTCAGGTTTTTCATTCAGCAGTACTACCCTGTGGGAGAAATACAGTTTAGTGGTGCACAATTTCTTTGATGCTAAAGGAGCTGCAATAAGAGGCAGCAGAATGATTGGAAAAAGACTTAGAGTACCAGGTCTCGCAGAAAATATTTTTAAACGATATGTTAAAATTACTTTTTTTAGCATTTACCGACACACGAGACTCCATCTCCTGTGTAACCAAGTTGACAAGCGCAGTAGAATGATCCATAAGTGTTTGTACAGTTGGCATCAGTATGACAATTATCCAAATCTTTTTTACATTCCTCTATATCTAAAAAGACAATGTTCAAAACCGTATTAATATACAATAGTTTAATGGCCCAGTTGGATTCAAGAGTTTCGTCACGTGTAAAGGCCTTTCAAAACACCTAATAAATAGTTCACTTCTGGTATGCAGATTTTACATAAATAATAAACCGAATACCACTACATGCTAAATACTCTTAGCTACAATTTGCTTTTTCTTCAGAAAACAGGAGCCTGTTTAAGAACTTAAATAGCCTTATTATTCATTCAAAATATTTCCCCGATTCTGATTAGCTAAAAGCACACATTTAATTCATCATAACCAGTTACTAATGACCAAATTTGGAAGAATTTTGTGTTTAGCAAGAAAATGACGCCAAAAATGCAGCGTTCTTGCAGGTTAATGCAGCGTTAACCGAGAGGACCTTGTGACGAGGTTGAGTTGTTTTGGCTGTGAACTGGACATTTCACTCCTGTCAAGAGTAAGAACTAGACAAAAAAATAACTAAAACCATGGCAAGAACAGCAAGAAGACAACTCGAAGGGTGACATCTGCTATTTGGAGAATATTTGCGGAGCTGAACAACCCTAAACGTGCACTATCGAAGATGAACTTAACATCGATGGATCGATGGAGGTAAGCATGTGTTAGCCTTTTTTTAAAACTAAAAATTGTTTCAATGAATAATAAAACAATTATTGAATTCGGCTTTCGTATCTTATGAAGAATTATGGAGATCTGGGATTGCCTTATTCATTAATTGTTAGTTAATAATATGTGGTAATTACCATTTATGCAAGAACCTGTTTAGGCTAACTTGGGAAAATGCAGGTTATTAGTCGCGGATTTTTACTCTTTTTCTATTCGCTGTCAAAAGGAAAGATCTGAGTGTATCTTTTGATCTTTATAAACATGTCTTGACAAACACAAAAATGTCGGGAAAGAAAGCTCAAGAAGAATTGCTGTTCTTGAGTGAAAATGCCATGATTTTTCTAATCTCGCCTAACGTAGTTTTTTAAAGCTGTGCTTGGACTAATGCGATGTAAGAGCAAAGGAGAAAATCTTTCTCATTAGTTAGTCATTTAGATTAAGGTTAAGGTCAGTGGCCTCAATTAGTGCTGGATTGGAGTTAGGCTTAGCTTCGTACGAGTCAGGATTAGGGTTTAGGTTTTCAGTTGGGGTTTTTAAGGCTTAGGGCGGTTAGGGTAAGTTGAAGGGTTAACTGTTAAGGTAATTCAAAGGAATCAGACTGTAAGTGATTGTTGCTCCTACAAATATCTAACAGCAATAACTGTCCATCAGTAGTTCCACATTCGGTTTCGAGTCCATTAAATTGCAGCGTTATTTGGTAAAATACTACGCCCCGGCCAATCAAACATTTCGTAGTACCATGTCAGAAGTCCTGGGCATCCTGCAAGTCCTCACACTTTTCTACTAATTGAATTACTCAGAATATCCATCTGGCGGAGGCAATCTTAATTTTTCAATTATCGTATGTTTCTCCCCCTAGACACTGGATGTACTAGCCTGAAATTCATCCTATTGCTTCGAGTCGTTTTCTCCTCTCAACAACGTCTGAATCGACCGGCCGTTAATGCCGTCAAGTGACGTCACTCACTACCCGAAAACCGGGTAGTGATTTTGATTGGTTGATTGTCTAAACATTCGCATAATTATGTATAATTATGAAAAATTTTAGCGGAATTGCCGCTTGATTTTCAGCGGATCGCATCCCTGGCATTCTTTCGTTTAGTTCAAACATTTCGATAAGCTAAATCTTTATCTTAAACAGTAAAATTACCCTTGTCTTCGAAACTGAAATGCTAAATTGAACTGCAAATGAAGAATCATTGCCGAGAGTCGGTAGGTTTTTTTATTTAGAGTCGCTTTGTGGTTTCGGCGGCTGGTGATTTTGTTTACGCGAAGTTTTCTGAGATCAATGTCATAATTCGACCTTCTTGCTGTTTTTACCGTCAAGTGTAATGATTCTGTTAGCTTTTCTTTCTTGTCTCCTTGTTATTTCTTCGTTAAGAACCAAATAGCTTCTTTTCAATTAAAGCAAATCATTGTGTTTTTGAACTAAGTGTTCCGTGTGTGTGTTTATTTCATTGCGTGATTGCGACCGAGTTTGATTACAGAATTTAGTACAACCGGTTCAGAGTTGTGCTGCATGCAGTTGATAGTTTGAACGGTAAACATGAATTACAATCGAAAAAAGTAAAGCAGTTCTGTATCATGCAGACATTTCCAAACGATATTTCTCGGTTTGCCACTTGAATATCGTGTTTACTTTTTGCATGAATTAAAGCAAAGGGCAACGAGTAGTGACGTCACTGGACGGCATTAACGGCCGGTCGATTCAGACGTTACTGAGGGAGTAATAACGACTCGAAGTAATCGGATGAAATTCAGGCTATGGATGTACTGGCGCTGTAAAATTTCATTTTTATAAACACTCTTCTTTAGATAGTTGTCTTTTGTTCTGAGTTCACATGGACGAGACAAGGCCTCTGCCAAAGATAGGGTGATAATTAATCGTCCCATGTAAGCCATCCGGATTCTGGAATCCTGGATATTTTTGCTTCCAGAAACCGGAATTCACCACGTGTAACCTAGAATCCATGACTGTCTTGGATTACCTCGCATGGGACGAGATTAAGTAAAGTAGACAAACATTATGGTGAAAAAAGGCACCATATAAACAGAAGTAGACATTAATTAAGAAATCTACATGCAGTTATCAACCAAGCAACGTATAGAAATAGAAACTTATAATGGATCAGGAGTTCCTCAAAGTTTTATTATTACTTCGCTACATCTAAATCAGACCTACCCACACATGTAACACCATCACCGGAAAACCCCTTTAAACAATTACAGTAAAATGATCCTTTCGTGTTGGTACAGTTGGCGTCGACGTGACAGTTGTGTTCAAGATGCTGATATTCATCAGATATTTGATCACGGACACATTCGTTAATATCTACAAAAAAATAATTTAGATTCACCATTAGGACAAAAATGGTGCTTTTTTTGTCGTAATACTTAAGAGAAATATAAAGGTTTTTTTTAAAGAATTCGCATTCAGTAACCCTTTTTTCAATTAGCTTTTTCACTAAAATTTATCTCAGGGGCGCCTTCTGTCTTATATATACTAGGGGTCGTAATGTGAGGTTAATGAAATTACCGAGATATAGGGGCCAAATATTTTACTATGACTATTGCTTGAATATATAAAACGACTTATTGACAAGATCAAGCAAAACTAACTACGAGAGAACGACTGGACAACTGACATTTTGACTAACAATCGACGACCGTTTAATTGTGTCGACAGACGGATTGAAACGCACCAATTACTGATTACGAGTCTTCATAGCCAATAACATGACACGGCTTAACTGACAGACGACCAGTAACATCGCGACGTAATTGACCAATCAGATCAATAACCAGAGTATGATACCATCAACTGACGTGTTACAACTCACTTTGACTCTGAAGATGACTACCGCACAGGTTGTCGAAACGTCAGTCACTGTCAACAACAACAGTCCTATTCAGGACTACGTTCACCCGGACGATCAAACTCAACCTACTTTTGAAATGACTCTAACCTGAGATCAGGCCCAATTTGAGCGGTTCTCATACATTCTCTCTAACGGCTACCGCTGAAATTGGGCCTGATACAAACTCATTCACGTTTGTGCTCGTTACGGCCAGATTTTGGCCGTAACGCTGATTGGCTGTTAGAACAATGCCACAAGATCTGATTGGCTGTCGGAAACGCCGGAAGCTGAAAGCGCTTATTCCTCGCGTGGTTGTCTTCGTGAATGACCCGTCGTCGGCGGAGAAAAGGATCCATTCTGCTGTCNCAACTCACTTTGACTCTGAAGATGACTACCGCACAGGTTGTCGAAACGTCAGTCACTGTCAACAACAACAGTCCTATTCAGGACTACGTTCACCCGGACGATCAAACTCAACCTACTTTTGAAATGACTCTAACCTGAGATCAGGCCCAATTTGAGCGGTTCTCATACATTCTCTCTAACGGCTACCGCTGAAATTGGGCCTGATACAAACTCATTCACGTTTGTGCTCGTTACGGCCAGATTTTGGCCGTAACGCTGATTGGCTGTTAGAACAATGCCACAAGATCTGATTGGCTGTCGGAAACGCCGGAAGCTGAAAGCGCTTATTCCTCGCGTGGTTGTCTTCGTGAATGACCCGTCGTCGGCGGAGAAAAGGATCCATTCTGCTGTCTTTTTTATTGTTTTAGGGTCTTATGGTAGGAAAATATTCCTTAATATGTGCCATGGAAATTCAGAAATTCATATGGTTGTTCATATCTTCGCAGGATTTGCTTTATTTACGGAAAGTGAGTGTATCGCGGGGTTGAATCCCTCTGCAAGTTGTTGACCGCTAACAAGGTGCATTTTGATTTACCAACAAACGGGTGCAAATCAAAATACTGTCCATCTTAAAACTGGTTTCATTTTAAAGTTTAGCCGGGAATGACTTCTCTGAACGGGGTACGCAAGCGGAGGCTCACTGCGAAAGAAACCTCAATCGCCAACTGTGAAGCATTAGACGGAAAATATCGCCTCGCTGTTCAAGGAATTTTCAGTGTTCACAGACTGGTTGTTTGCCTTCGCTTTTTGTAAAAAATAAACCAAGAAAACTGGTGTCCTCGCTCGTTGGCTGTTTGCTTTTTTTTAAAGATTTATGTACTGAAAATCGGGGGAAATTGCCGAGGAAAATATTAAGACAACGGAAAAATAGAGATTTCAGTATTTTAAATTCCAGAGCGCCTAGCCAAAATAATAAAACTAGTACAACATCGCGTCGCCGTCTTTTCGAAAACTTTGTACCTTCTACGCCAACAGAAATAACCTTCGAGATCTCCCTTAATCTCGCAATAAGTTAAATGTGATTGTGCTGACTGTTTTATTTTTAGCTGAAAAAATTAAGAGATAAATTAAAGCTATTTTTTAAGTCAGCCATTCTGCATTTTTCCCACGCGTGAAAAATTTGCATACT